GCAAACCCTCGGCGGTAAACTAGCGAGTTGTAGCATCGCTGTATGCTGGGCCGTGCGTCATCGACAGAGCCAGTAACACGAGTTTCACCGTAACACAGGGTAGTTGCATTAGTGGTTAGAGCAATAGCTCAGGTGTATCAGAGGCTCTCATATTTTCTTTATCTGCTCTTCTGTGTTTCAATGCTCTCGCCTGACGTTATATAGATGGCCGCAACCACAAACTGCTCGCCACCTGAACTATTGCTTGCTCAGCATGTTTATCGTTTATCCATAGGGAACAGAGATCAAAACTGACAGGAGGCCGTGGATCGTATATACAACCAAGCGCATGCTCCGGCGATTAGTTGACATTACGCGTGCGCGCTATATACTTTTTTTTTGTCGTATAACTTTTTATGGCTTCGTCTTTACAAAGAAAAGAAAAAGAAGAAAAAAACAACGTATATACATGTAGCTAAACTACAAGATCAACAACAAGAAACAAAAAAACAAAAAAAAAACACAAAAGAACAACAAAACAACGCAAAACAACACAGAGTCAAATAACACCATCCAGAGAGGGGGCAAGTTGTGGACTGCGGTGAATCCAGGCAGAAGCATTTCCCCTCCAGAGAGATATTGCGAGTCTTTGGTAAAGATGACGAGTAGATTCGACCGGAGAGATCCCCAAACGCTGACCCAAAAGACGGCCCAGGCTGGAGATGGTGTCAGCAGACATATCACTCACGCCACCTAGGGACTCTATGGCGAGAGGGATGAAACTGATGCCAACGGCCTGGCAGGCTGCACCGTGAGAAGCAAACTTTCTCTCCTCAGCAACTAAAAGGGCATGGCCCTGATTTTCTGCAGCACCCCGAACGGTTGATTGCTGTAGTGTAGAGATGACGGTGATGTCCAGGGCGGCAGGGCGGCCTCTTTTCCAGCAGGGGAGATAGATGTCAGCGGGCCGGCTTCGGGTGCCGGGGACCAGAGAGGGGACTTCCCTTCGGGGCGCCAAGGCAGCTGACTGAGCTGCTGAAAAAACTGCATCCCGAAGGGAGTTATGTCGGAGGATTCTGTCGCAGTTTCCTCCGCAACCCACTTGATGGTCCCCAAAGGAGTCAGCCGGGACATGACAAACAGGACACCTAATACCCTCCTCGAACATGTGGAGGCCCAGCCAGTACTGCAAGCAGAATCGGAATTCCCGGTCTGGAAGGTGGAGGCCCAGGGCAGAGGACGGGATGACGTTCAGCCAGTCGCCGGCATGACGAATGGCGGACGAAAGGGCCAGGGCTTTGGAGCGAATGTTTGGAGCTGAGACCAACAGGGTGTCAAAGGATGCCTCATCTATAGCACGACAGAGGCTGTGTTGACTGTGGGGAACATCGATATCCTGGATGGACACCCAATCAGGTCTAGCTGAAGCCAGGGCCAGAGACCTAATGGTGTCAGGGAGGTGGACAGGGGGGTTGGCGGCGTGCCCCAGGATCCTTGAAATTAGGGGTCTGCTTTGAAGGAAGGAAGCAATATAGGCAGCAGGGGCATGTAAGGAGGCCTGACGAACATTCAGCCCCCCTAGGGACGAAGGGAGAGAGGCTTTGGCCCAGGACCAATCGGGTAGAGGGCCCCCAGCGAGATCAGAGAGGGCATCACGCATAATGCGGTCGAAAGACCCTAGAGCCTCTTGAATGAGGGCGGGGGGACAGGTGCGAAGAACATAGGCAACCTTGGGTAGAGCCAGACAGGAACGGAGTAGGGCGGTCTCCATCTGAGAGTCCTCGAGGTCTGCGAGTTTAGAGAGGGTATCAACGAGTTTGCTCACCCTCTTGGAGAAGATGTCCTCACAGAAACTGGTTGGACCAACTGGGGATCCCAGCAGAGTAAAGCCATCTGACGAGGTGGGGATGCCGCGGAGAAGGCGATGGGTGATGGAGGAGTTATCCGGAGCATGGATGAACGATTTGCCCCGATTCAGGAATAGTCCCCGTGGAGGACCTTCAGCTTCGATGATGGCGAGAGCCGCAGCGAGATCCTGTTGGGTGCCACAAAGGGTACCATCGTCGAGGTACCAAACGTTAATAAGGAGGCCAGGGACGGACTCTCTAATCTTCTCAACGATAGGGTGGAGGACAAGGGCGAACCCCAGAGGACCGAGGGGATCACCCTGTTGAACACCACAGCAACTGGGGATGGTTTGGTTTTCCAGGAGGAGGTTGGGCTGAAAGCCATATGAGCATTCCATCCAGGACGAAATGGTGGGGATTCGGGTCCTCACTTCATGGAACAATGCGGTCCGGTCCACTGAATTGAAGGCATTTGAAAAGTCCACGAGGAGAGTGAAACGGTGATCGGCTGGGATGCTGGGGCTTTCGTGGATGTTCATGACTGAGTGGAGGATGGCTTCACAGCCAGCCGGGAGGCCAACACCCACTTGCAGGGGCGAAAGAATTTGCAGAGCATCCGGGAGGACAGCCCTGGCAGCACACTTGGAGGTAAGTCTGCGGAGAACCTCACCGACCGCTATCGGCCGTAGACCACCCCCCTTTTTCAGACAAGGCAGCAGGGAGGCGCCACATAGATGAGGGATGACAGCATGGGGAAGCTTGCCGGCACATAAAAGGTTAACCACCCTAGAGAGGCACAGGAGAGTGTGGTTGGCACGATTAGGGGAGGGACAAAACACAGCTTCCTTGAGGTGATTGGCGCGGAGGCCGGAAGGGCCTGGGGCAGATCCGGCAGGAAAAGATCTAAGAGCACCTACCAGCTGCTCCACAGACACTACGATAGGATTAGGGGGAGGGGTCTCAGGAATGGTGGGAGGGTCGACACTGGGATGTTTTTCCAGCATTTCGTTAAAAACATCGGACGATGCGAGGGCGAGCCCCATGGATGTGAGGGACTGAATAGCCTTCCTATACTGGCCGTCTTCCACGGCACGCCGGGCACGAGTAGCATTGCTGCGGCGACGAGACTCGGCAGATAGAGGTTTCGACTTAGATCGAACTGAGCGAGCACTGAGGCCCCTAACACTGGCGGTAGTATCAGACCACAGACCCGACAGATCACCATCCTTCCACCTCTGAATCCGAGACTGGACCAGTTTGAGGGTGGCACGCCAGTGGGACCGGCCTCCTCTGGGGGGATTAGCTAATACACATTTGGGTAACATGAAAAGCTTACACCAGGGGCCGATCAGCAAAGGGTTTCCCACCACCTCAGAGAGCACGTCACCTAGGAGTAGGGACCAAGAGTCTCTAATGGCCTTGGGGGACATGTTGAAGGGTTGGAACTCTCAGGCGCAGTACCGAATCCAGAGGGGGGGAGGGGACTTGGGTGACCTCCGTCACGGAGAGAGGATGACTGACAGGAGAAAGTGGGCGCCAGGAAGGAGGAAGAGGTCGAGGTTGAGCCGGAGACGCGCGCGGTGGGAAGGGAGGATGAGTGGGCACTGCCGGGCACACTGCGAGGGGCCACATCGTTGACGGATGCGGACTGCGTCCCCCCCTGCGGTGGAACGGAGGACGAGAGGGCGGGAGCCGGAGGACGAGAGGGCGGGAGCCGGAGGACAAGGGATGGATGAGTTCGAAGGCACGGGTGGGGGAACGGCGGCGTCGGAGGACACAGAGGAACTGGAAGGCCGGACCCCGGACGAGGCAGAGGCAGCAGAGGAGGGAGGTGTGGATGTGTGAGAGTGAGAGTTGTTCTTGCCACGGTTCCGTCCCCTGTGTTCTGACATTTTCCTTGGTCTCCCGGCAAACAACACGAGCAGGGCTTACAGCTCTTGGTACAGGCACAGCGAACACACTTGGCGGTTCTGTTGCACTTACAGCACCGCCGGGAGGGAGCCGACATATCAGCTCGCGATATCCGAGACTGGACCAGTTTGAGGGTGGCACGCCACCTGCAGGAGAGGGCGCGTGCGCGATCCACCGCGCGTTGCCATTTTTCACGCCATATCGCAGTCGTTTCGGGAAAATCGCCACATTAATATTAATCTTCTCGTCGTTCACAACCCGTTGGTGCCACTCATTGGCCGCCTCGTAGCCTGTAGTGCTAGAACTCGCGCGGACGGACAGACAGACAGACATACGGACAGACAGAACGACTACTGTAACCCTCGCTGCGCATGCGCGCCGAGGGTTAACTAATGGCAGATAGCACTTGTTACCACTGTAATAAAATGGCTACAAGATGCTCAGTAAATTCCTTTAAATTTTTAGTGTGTGTGGCACAGACTCACTAAGCTACACATGCGCTAGTCTTGCTAGCCAAGGACCACAAGTCTAGCTATGCTAGTGTAAGATCAAGGTGTGATGATTGCCATGTAGTTTACATTACTAACCATTTCTTCAAAATGAAGGAGGATATAGGGATGGCTCGAAACATGGAGAAAAAAGAAAGAAACAAGGGTTCATTACACAGTCCAATCCCCATTTTAAAAGTTTAGTTCTTCATGACACATGAAATCCTGAAATATTAATAAACTTCGCTACCTATTTGTTTACCACCCATTACCTCACTAAAAAAGAGATTACGCCTCTTCTGGTCTAGGGTTTATAGTTTTACATAAGTAGCATCAGTGACGCTACTGCAAACAGAGGCATCTGCAAACAGATGCATCTTCAAACGAAAATCCTAGAAGAACTCACTGATACATGACTGAAGATAAGAAGGCAGGTTAGCTGCTTGAATATTTTGCCCATGTTATTTTTTAGTGAAGTAGTGATTTCACTACAAAATTAAGTAACCTTACAATAAGCTTTATGAATACTTTCCACATACTATAGTGGTTTCATGGCCCCAATGTTTATGCTGCAATGCAGTGACAAAAAGAAGGCTATGGGTGGCTGCATTGTCCCTTTTGTACGCGGATCACGTGTGGCTGGATTTTACACCAGTTGAGACTAACTTATGAAGTTTTCATGCTCTATAAAATAGACAGTGGTATGATTATCTTGGTGTAGAAGTCTCTTTCTCAATTTGTGCAGTTTAATTAAATTGTATGGTGTGACATCCCTTAGTTGGCATGTATATCAGAGGAACGATTTCTCAAGATTATTATTACAAAATGGATACCAAAATAGTATATAAGCAGGATGAAGTACGAACTATTTTTCAAAAGTCATCCTTTTCGTACACTTCAGTCTGTATAGTATTAACAATTCTCTGAAAAGAAGGTCGCTTTGCTGGGTCCTCACTCCAGCAGTCTGTTATTAGAGGGTGAAGAAAATCTGGTAATCTATCAGGAATTGGAGGGCGTTTACCCTCCATCAGTAAGTAGCACACTTTGATGTCACTTTTTATCTCGGAAAATGGAATCCTAAGAGCATAGATTTCATAAAGGATCATGCCGTAAGAGAATACATCACACTTGTTGTCTATTGTATGCTCAACTTCAGCAGCTATTTCAGGAGCCATCCATCGATATGTACCAGCTATTCCTGTAGGCCTACAGGTTTTAGATAGTTCACGGGCTGTTCCAAAATCACACAATTTTGCATAACCATAAGAAAGAAGAACATTGGGGCTTTTAAGGTCTCGATGAATAACATTGTTTTCGTGAAGATGTGCCATACCACTTGCAATCTGGAATGACCAGGTCAAGGCTTGACCTACTGTAGGCTCCTCTCTTTTCTTCCCATGTAGAGCAGTAAAAAGTGATCCATCAAAAGCAAATTCTGTGACAATGAGGGTGTTAATCAAGTCAGCACTTACTGCAACCCCAAAAAACCTAAGCACATTAGGATGCGGTGGTAGAGAAGCGAGGATTTTCACTTCAGCAGCACCATGCTCAAGAAGATTTCCATCACATGACTTTACTGCAACTGTTTTATTCAGCCACTTAGCTCTAAACACTGTACCAAAACCACCCTGTCCAATTCTGTCTCCAACAGCAATTTGACTCCGCTCAATAATGTGGTTCGCTTTCAGGCAATTAGCACTCTAAAAACATAGGTGTTAAAGATAATCATGACGACATAATACGTCATTTGCTTAAACCTATAGAAAGGATTAGCTAGTAGGGTCTAGCTACAATCAGACACACGATTTTGCCTCCAATGCTGACATGAAACCACTTTTGTGTCACGATGTGCAAAAGGTATCTGTTGCTACTTAGTAGTTTTCCATTGACAGTTTAATTTTATCACCATTAATGAGGATGTGTTGACCTTTATGCGGTGACTTCGAAGTTTTGACAACCGAGTGTACATAGTTTTGTGCATCATTATGTAACCTGCCACCTTTTAATCCGGAAACTCCCACACCCACAACTATGAACTAGCAGAGCATATTTTTTTCCCTGTGAAGGCCATAAAGGACCCAGAAGAACCCCTAAGCAGGTAACTTTCTGTTGGCGTCACAACTAGCTCTGGAAGTTTTTCTTTGCATTTCCTAGCTTGTCTCCGCCTCCTGACCACTCGCCTAGGCCCTCTAGTTGCTTTCCCATACCCCACCACCTTCCATAAGGGTTTTAACGGTTATGCATTCTTTGCGTGAACATAAACGAATGAAATTACTAACCAACCACCCCCCATAATTTCAGTGAGGTTAAAGTGTGGCATGACACTCTCTCACTACTCACTACACCATTGAATATCATTCATGTGTCTCTCTACCCTTCCATCACCTTCAAACAAGGGTTTTAACGGTTTTGCACTTTTGTCGGCACGTAAATGAACGAAATTACGAACAAACCATCCATAAAAAAACTTTACTATAGTTAAAGTGTGGGATGACACTCTCTCACTTCTTACTGCACCTTTGCCTATCGTATTATGTCCCCCTACCTTTCCCCCCACCACCTTCCAATAAGGGTTGTAACGGTTTTGCATTTTTTGCGGGAACATGAACGAAAATTACAAACCAACACTCGACACAAAGTGGGGAATTACACTCTCTAACTTCTCACTGTACCTTCTCACTGTACCTTTACCTATCACATGTGTCCCACTACCCTTCCTCCACCTTAATATGAGGGTTTTAACAGTTTTGCATTTTTTGCGGGAACATGAACGAAATTACAAACCAACACTCAACACAAAGTGGGGAATTACACTCTCTAACTTCTCACTGTAACCTTTACCTATCACATGTGTCCCACTACCCTTCCTCCACCTTAATATGAGGGTTTTAACAGTTTTGCACTTTTTGTCGGCACGTAAATGAACGAAATTACGAACCAACCATCCATAAAATATTTTACTATAGTTAAAGTGTGGTGTGACACTCTCTCACTACTCACTGCACCTTTGCCTAGCATTTATGTTTCCCTACCCTTCCCCCACCTGCCAAAAGCAGTCTTAACGGTTATGCATTTTTAGACACGTAAATGAACGAAATTGCTGGCCAACTGTCCCGAACAATTATACTATACTTAAAGTGTGGAATGACACTCTCTCACTTCTCACTGCACCTTTGTCTATCATGTATGTGCCCCCCTACCCTTCCCCACACCACCTTCCAATAATGGTTGTAACGGTTTTGCATTTTTTGTGGGCACGTGAATAGACGAAATTACGAGCCAACATTCACTAAATATTTTGCAATAGTTAAAAGTTTGGAATGACGACACACTCACTTACTGCACATTTGAATCATACATGTGTCCTTTACCCTTCCCCCCACCACCACCTTCCAGTAAGGGTTTTATCGGTTTTGCATTTTTTGTGGGCACATAAACAAACGAAATTACAAACCAACACACACTAATAATTTCAGTCAGGTTAAAGTGTGGAATAAAACTCTCTATATAACTTCTCACTGTACCTTTACCTATCATATGTGTTCCACTACCCTTCCCCCACCTTCAAGTAAGGGTTCAAATGGTTTTGCACTTTTTGTCGGCCGTAAATGAACAAATCAACCATCCATACTATTGTTAAAGTGTGGCTTGACACTCTCTCACTACTCACTGCATTTTTGCCTATCATATATGTGTCCCAATACCCTTCCCCCCACTTCCTTCCAATAATGGTTGTAACGGTTTTGAATTTTTTTGCGGGCACATGAATAGATGAAGTTGCGAATCAACCATCACTAACTATTTAACAATAGTGTGGAATGACACACTCTAACTTACTGCACCTCTGCCTATCATACATGTATCCCTCTACCTTTCCCCCCACCACCTTCCAGTAAGGGTTGTAACGGTTTTGCATTTTTTGCGGGAACATGACCAAACGAAATTACTAACCAACCGTCCCCCATAATTTCAGTCAGGGAACATAAACGAACGAAATTAAGAACCAACCATCCCTAATAATCTCAGTAAGGTTAAAGTGTAATTTTTTAGTGGGCAAGAAAATGAACAAAATTACGAACTAACCATCCCTAAAAAATTTAAGTGTGAAATGACACTCTCTCACTTCTCACCGCACCTTTGCCTATCATACATGTGAACGAACGAAATTACTAACCAACAATCCCTAATAATTTCAGTCAAGTTCAAGTGTGGAATGACACTGTCTCATTTCTCCATACCTTTACCTATCGTATGTGTCCCACTACCCTCCCCCAACCTTCCATTAATGGTTTTAATGGTTTTGCATTTTTTTGGGACGTGAACATACGAAATTACAAACCAACCATCCCAAATAATTTCAGTCAAGTTTAAAGTGTCTCTCTCACTTTTCACTGCACCTTTGCCTATCATATGTGCCCCTACCCTTTCCCCCACCACCTTCCAGTAAGCGTTTTAACGGTTTTGCATATTTTATGGGCACATGAACGAACGAAATTACTAACCAACAATCCCTAATACTTCAGTCAAGTTCAAGTGTGGAATGGCACTGTCTCATTTCTCCATACCTTTACCTATCGTATGTGTCCCACTACCCTCCCCCAACCTTCCATTAAGGGTTTGTACGTTTTGGGCACGAAATTAAGAACCAACCATCCCAAATAATTTCAGTCAAGTTAAAGTATGGAATTACACTCTCTTACTTCTCTGTGCACAGACCTAGCTATCACATGTGTCCACCTATCCTTCAGCCACCTTACACTAACAGTTTTTTTTGTGGGCAAGAAAATGAACAAAATTACGAACCAACCATCCCTAAAAATTTAAGTATGAAATGACACTCTCTCACTTCTCACTTCACCTTTGCCTATCATACATGTGTTCCCCTACCCTTTCCCCCACCACCTTCCAGTAAGCGTTTTAACGTTTTTGCATATTTTATGGGTACATGAATGAACGGAATTACTAAGCAACAATCCCTAACAATTTCAGTCAAGTTCAAGTGTGGAATGACACTGTCTCACTTCTCCATGACCTTTACCTATCATATTATGTTTCCCACTACCCTCCCCCAACCATCCATTAAGAGTTTTAATGGTTTTGCGCACGAAATTAAGAACCAACGATCCCAAATAATTTCAGTCAGGTTAAAGTGTGGAATAACACTCTCTAACTTCTCATTATACTTTTACCTATCATATGTTTCCCCCTACCCTTCCCCCACCCTCAAACAAGGTTTTAACGGTCTTGCATTTTTCACGTAATTGAACGAAATTACGAACCAACACTCCCTAATAATTTTACTATAGTTAAAGTGTGGCATGACACACTCTCACTACTGATCACTGCACCCTTTGCCTATCATTCATTTGTCTCCCTATCCTTCCCCCACCTTCACCTTCCAATAACGGTTTTAATGGTTTTGCATTTTTTTGCGGGCACATGAACGAACAAAATTACTAACCAACCATCCATAGTAATCTCAGTCAGGTTAATGTGTGCAATGACACTCTCTCACATCATACATGTAGGGGCAGCCTAGTGGTGTGCAAACTACAATAAATTTAATTCCTTAGCTAGTCGTAGCGCAGTCTGAATTGACCACTTTAAACCTCCTCTTCATAGTCTGACGTATTAGAGTGTCCGATTGACCTTTGTTTGCCAGGAGACAACCATAATTAACTGTCTTGTCTGTTCATTTTTGAGCCATTTTATAACCTAATTAATCGTTCATATTTTCTCCTTTTCTGTGCTGCCCTTTGAGAATTTTTGTTTCTCTGAAATATAACGTCGTGCATGCAAACTATATAAATTTACGTGTTTTATGTACAACTGGCAGGTGCCGGCACACGGCAGGAGTGGCTCCCTGGCATGAGTCCCCAGTCATTCATGCCTTAGCCAGGGCAGGAGTGACGTTAGGCATGGCTGACTCCACTCAATTGCCTAGAGTTTATATAATTATCCTAGGTACGCTAGCAAACGCTATTATCAGCCAATGGCACTCATCTAATGTAATACACTGAAGCAGTTGTGTGAGCTATACACAGACCTGTGTATGCAGCGTGAACACCCATGCATACCAACCCTCCAGCTACTTTATTTTCATCCCACCAGAACACATTTTCTTACTCTTTGTGGCATTGTGATAGGCCAATATTTGGTACCAATTACATGGGTTCCGATAATCACAAACAAAGGCAGTGAGTATTCAGCTCGTGTAGAAGGCATATATACACAAAACATTGCTCTTACATACGAGCTACAACTAATTCTTCTTGGTTGAAAGCCTGTAACTAAACTCAGCCTTCTCTCTACAACTTGTAGCAAATTGTGTCCCATGCCTTAAAGTTTTTTAGTGTAACTCACTTGGGGCCGAGGAACTCCTTTAACTGGGGTATGCTCACTTGAAACATTGTCATCGTCATCTGTGCCTTAAGAGTGGGAGAAGATTCATTTCCCCCTATTAGCCAGTCTAACACTTTCACAATCTTGTAGATGTGAAGTGAGAGGTCGAGCAGTGCATAACCCCAGTGACAAGTAGACATTATTGCGGAGCGCATTAGCGTGAGGCAACTAATCCGGGTTGTATTCTCGCGAAGTCTGGCTTCGCGCGCAGTAAGTAGAGCGCGCGCACGAGCGGCGCCTCAGTCGGACAGTTTACGCATTGGCTGGCAGGCGCGAGGCAAAATATGCGCGTGCGCATTCCTAGTACTGATAGACCTTCACTTACCGTGGGCGAGAAGTACATTCGCACTTTGCACTTCGCGGTTCGCGCTTCGTGAGCCGGCACTTCGCGCTTTTCCATAATTTTGTGCCTCGTTCGTATATACGTACTTCGCACTTCGCGGTTCGCACCTCGCGGTTCGTACTTCGCACTGCACTTCGTTGTTCGTATATACTTCGCACTTCGCGGTTCGTACTTCGCACTTCGTGGTTTGCAGAGCAACAACCTATATTAGTCACGCTCTATCTCCCTATCACTCTCCTACTCACATCATCTTCTTTTTTTAATGTTGTATGTCTTTGCACCTGTGGTGGTGTGTACGTATATCAATCAATTATTATTATTATTATTATTATTATACAAGCTCTTCGTTAGATTCCAGATATCTCGTCATTTCCACCTAGCCCCTACCTTCCTGCGGCTTCACCCGTGGCGGATAAGCCTAAGTGGAGGTCTAGAAGACGTCCAAGGTATTGCGGTTCACCCTGTGTTGGCCTCAGCTTCAAACAGTGCCGCAGAGAAGCGAGGACGGACATACGTCACGTAACGTGAAAAACGCGTACGACAGCCATGTATGGAGAATCAAGGGAGACGCCTCGGTTTTCTGTCTTACCCCGCAACAACCTATAAAAGCTCTTCGTTAGATTCCAGATATCTCGTCATTTCCACCTAGCCCCTACATTCCTGCATACCACGAAGTACGAACCGCGAAGTGCGAAGTACGAACCGGCGAAGTGCGAACCGCGAACCACGAACCGCAGTACGAACGAGAAACTAGAGGCACAAAATTATGGGAAAGCGCGAAGTGCCGGCTCACCAAGCGCGAAGTGCGAAGTGCGAACCAACGAAGTGCAGAGTGCGAATGTATATACTTCTCGGCCACCGTATATACTTCTGGTAGTTCGCGGTGCCTATAGAGCTAGAGCGCGTTAGCGTGAGGCAACTAGTCCAGGTTGTATTCTCGCACGTACGTGTCCATCACGCTTAAGAATGTCAATTAGTCACGCGTATGTAATGTCACGCCTTTTAAGAATGTAAATTAGTCACGCTTAGGGAATGTAAATTAGTCACGCTTAGGAATGTCAATTTCCGCCGTGCGCGCAGATCTTCGCGCGCAGTCAGTAGAGCGCGCGCACGAGCGGCCTCAGTCGGACTGTTTACGCATCGGCTGGCAGGCGCGAGGCAAAATATGCGCGTGCGCATTCCTAGTATTAGCTACAATTGCGGTATATACACTGTCTGATGGAGCAAGTCGCCTGCAGGTTGTAAACGTTACCGGACAGGACTGGAAATGTATGGCCGATGAGCTCCAGCTACAATCTGCCTGTTATTCTCCAAGCATGGCTCATGGGGCTTGCTATAGGTCGACTGTGTCCTCAGTAGATGTTGTTGTATCACACATCCATGCTGCTCTGAGTTGCTGTGCACAAGCGTGGTTTTGCTCTGGTAGCTAGCTAGCTAATTCGTGGGTCTGAAAAAGTAAATTTTTAGACAAGCAACGGTAATCTATGACATTGTGAAATGGTTGGAGCTTCGCCAGACAGCCTTCCAAATCTGGCACCGAATGTCAGCACAAGTTTGATATGGATTTAAGTTTTTCATAATTTGTTCGCGACATGTTTTGCACCATTCTCTGAGCGTAGTTTTATAGTGGTTGTATATATATAGCATGAAGGGACTGAATTGTCTACCAAACAGTATGTCTATAGCTATACATCAACATATTTGACATCCATCCCTAAGGATGGCTGCCAGTAATGCGTTGAATAGGCAATGATTGCTGGCAGTTACACGAGTGACGAATGGGTAAGACCAGCTTTTTGTCTAGCTCAGTGCAGAGTGACTGGGTTAGTGTTCACTGGTCACTAGCCCTGGGCTCAACAGACTGTTTTCGCTGTATTCTTTTAGGTTTAAGTATAATTATATGTTAAGGAATACCCTTTCCCACTATAGATTCTTCTTTGGTGGAGCATTTTCCATCTGTGTCATTCTCCTCATCCTACACAGAAAGAATGATAATCTTCACACACACACACACACACACACACACACATACACTTATTCACACTATCAAAAGAGATGCATTATTATTATAAGAGCGTTCTAATGATAAAGTATAGTTAGCTACCAGCTACATTAGTGTCCTTAGTATCAGGTGTAGGTTTAACGACAAATTTAGGAGGAGGAATAAAAATGATAGATGTTGCCTGTGTGGCATAGTGAGGAGTTACAAATAAATTTCCTCGACAAATACCTTCTTGCGAATCGCACAAAAACAAGTTTAATGCCATTTACGACAGGCGGCGGGCAGAACTGACTGTGCACGCTATCAGAACTAGAAGCAGGAACAAAGAATCTGGACTTGGAAACACTACATCCCTTTTGTAAAAAACACATTCCCAAATTTCACTGTCTCCTAGCCAACAAGAGTGTCGAGCTCTCAGTGCTTTCCTGGGCACTGAAAATCGCAACATGCAAGTGGCAAATGTTTTGGGGAAAAATGTTCGTGATTTAGTTGAAAGTTTTGTCATGAGTTATACGGCAGGAGCTTTTTTGGGTATTACCACCACTCTCCGCGTACACTCGCTCCCTGCAACGAGAGCTGGAACGAATATTTCAAGGCTACGCGTGAAATATTATTATCCCCCCATAGCAGCCCTCATTTACCTGTTTGTTTATTTTTGCCTCATTTGATTCAGGCAGACAAGATGGTGTATTTTTTGTCTCACTGTCTTCCCTTGATTGTCTCTTGATCACTAGCTCATCTTTTGAAAGGGATCTGTGTACACAGTAACAGCTGACTACAGAATATCACTTAAGTACAAGCCATCAGTGCACTGAACCCATGCACATGCGCAGTACCACAAACTGATGGGCTGGGCTATGCGTTTTCTAGAGGGGTTTGCTACTACATGAAATCTCGTAAACTTCACTTGAATTCCTACACCAAATCCAGAAATCTTGGGTAGTGTTGTTGCTTGACATGAATGTTGCATGGGAGCAGTTACAGCTACTAACTGGAAGGTGACTGGAGCAACCTGGTTCACAGCATGTCTACTGAGGAGCCTACAGTCTCAGACGAGTTGAGTACATCAGATACAAGTCTACTGTCTTTGCATCCCCAGTTGCCAAAGCTTCATCTCCGTTTTTTTTGGACTGGCCTTAAAACAATTACGATGCTAGAAGCCTCTTGCCAAAATTTGATGAGTTATATAATGATTGACACACACAAGCTCTAAGACTTGATTTTGTCCTCTGGTTATGGATATTGAGATCATAATTCCAGGTTATTAACCCTCGGCGCGCAGCGAGGGTTAACAACTAATGAATTTTGTATGTGGATATGTTGTGAAATTTGTAACAGATGGTACCATTTGGGTTAATGTTTTACCTTAACAACTAATGAATTTTGTATGTGTATAATGTGTGTAGCTTTTGGAAGATCTCTATAACATTGTGATAATTTTATGATTTTAAAACCTGTCTTATAACTTGTGCAGTGTCCCATACTTATTATTAGTCTAGTGTGAAAAGTCACCGCCTCCTTAACAGAAAATTTATTATGTAGTATTACTTCGACAGCTTCTGGTTTGGAGGTGTGCCATGCCTTAACACTTAACCAGCCAAGGACACATAAATGTGTCCATTGTCTCCATAATCAGCAAGATTTTATATGGAGGTTTTAATACTAGGCGTTAATACTTTGTACATGGTTTATGCTTGTATATTAGTGGCGTGGAAAGGGTTAATGCAGTGTCTCATAATGTCATGTACCTTACTTACACGCAGTGTGTCACATATTAAACAAATAATGTAATTTGCAACAACTGAGCCCTACGCACCTTTGACCTTGTCCTACCCCCTTGAACTTTCGTGTCAAAAGTTACAAGACACTTCTTTCCCCTTGTGGGTAGAGCGACAGGGTATATATAAGACTTTGCTCAATAGTCACCAGACCTTTTCCTCATCTGAGGGCAGGGCCTGGGCACGAGACTAATCACATAGCAACCATGCTTGCATAGGAAACTAAATCACAGACCACTACAGGACACAAGCGGCTGATACATGTGGAACAAGCTTTGAACAAGGTTAACACACCCTTACTATCGATTAGAGCTCTTGAAATTGACCTTGTCACTCATGGGGCTCAGATTTGCTGGTTGCGATCACTATTTCGTGACCAGGACCAGGCTCAATGCTCATAGCTTGGAGTGGCCCACCCCTGACTCAGCAACGATTGTGCATTATTTTAAAGAGCTGTTTGTTCCTTGGACCATCCCCATTGATAATGTATTGAGTGGTGAACTATAACAAGGCCTGAACATTAAAAATTATGTAGTGTGTATAGTATTCAGTCACAATAGTCATTCACCCATGCATTTTATTTACAGTAGGTATGTACCTGCTCATTTTTCGCAGACTAGCTTGATAAATTAATTCAGCCTCACTCAACGAATCACTCAACCTCCTTTGAAGCTGAAGTCTAATGTAGTCTTTGATTAGATAGTACCAATTGAGTTGTAAAAAAGCCTACCGTTCATCAATGAATTCCTTTAGCTTTCTCTTGAGCTGACCATTGAGGAGAGCTGTTTGGATCATAACTTCTCCCACATATTTTTTCCGCTTTATGTGATTTGGTTCATCATAGAAAAGAAGTAAAACTGCTGGAAGCTCACTGACACGACCAACATCATGACACACCTATACATCGGTGCCACAGAAAATAGATAGATTAACCCACAGCATGCATTGCACTATAGGCTAAAAAGCTTTCCGTGTATGCGTATTTTACAGTTAGCTGGGTGGCCACAGCGTTTAGCTAGTCAACAAGGTGGTTCGCCTCGCTCTTCACCTAGACGTACTTCAGGTTTAGGAAGTAACAAAAACAATACACTGCTGTGAGTTGTTGATTCATAACTTATGTGAATATTGTGTTTTTAATTCATATCAAAAGAATGTGATAATGCAGCATTTTGAATATAGCTTAATAGCGAAGTTTATGACTTTCTACAACAGGCTCTGTAGACTGTAACTGGCATAAGAGCGATTATAATTCCAGGCTTTAGAGGTATCGTCTGCAACCATTTTCCGCCTTATAAAAGGTAAGTATGTTTTTACAGACACTTCCTCTCCTTCACACAATAATGCAGAGACGGTTCATAACTTACCCTGTCTAATGTCACAAACAATGGAAACGGTCCAGTGATAACTCGTACACACACACTGGGAAATTCTTTCGCTAGGCGATCGAAGAGAGGTCGAATTCTTGCACAGCTCTCGTTGATTTGGTTTGTTATTTCAAGCGCAATAACCATTCGCTCACTTTGGCATAACTTTTGCGTTTCCTCCCACTTTTCATAGTTATTTATAAACATCACTTTTTTATCATCCTCTTCTTGCTTAAACGACTCAAAATCTCCAAGCAACGCCTTCGTTAAATGTACATCTGAGGTCCATGGGGGTACATCCATCTTGCAGACAAGTAACGGTTTCGTAGCCTTCGGCCCGTGCGCACGTAGCTAACGTGACGGGCGACGGTTTCCGCGCAAACGCATGAATGTTAGTTAGGAATCGAATAATGACGTAGGTATAGTCAGGCCAGAAATTACAGTACAGTTTGTCCGTCCGTCTGTCTGTCTGTCTGTCTGTCCGTCTGTTACTTACGTTTTCTGCCACCACGCGCAACAAACAGGTAAAAGAGCGGGTTCGCTACTTTCTAAAACAGTAGCTACAAAAATTCAAACAAACAAACAAGGGATTCCATTACTGGACATCTCACCTCACGAGCCTCTACAAACAATACAACGTATTCAGCGTCGGATAAAGGTCGAAAAATATGTGAGGTTATCTGCTGCGTGCGGGAGTTACGTGAAACACGAGCGAAAAAGCCAATAAGGTAATTAGATCCTCCAACTACTGTAGGCACAAGTAATCACAACGAAGGGCGTGTATCGACTCCTGCATGCTATCGACTGCTGTAGCTACCCCGTGTCAGAACTCTCGGAGTCTCCGCGAGCTACTAGTAGCGCGTAGACAACGAGTAAACGGTTGGTGGTACCGCGCATGCGCAATACGCCGAGGGTTTGCACTAGTGCTTTTCATCACTGCAACACGGGTTAGACAACCGATGGGAAAGTTTACAGCAGTAGTGAGATTAAAACGTTTCAACCGTGCTTCATCTTGTGCTAACTGCTAACTTGTCCATTGATGACACACACACTGAAAATGTGTAGCTATGAGCTAGATGCGACAACAAACCCTAGTGAATTGGGTTTGGACATTTACATAGGCACTTTTACAAGCTTTTGCATATGAGATTTGTTATGCTATGGCTAATGATCAGCAAAGGAAGACGGAAATGAAGAAAAGCACACTTACACTGATATTTGCAACACACTGTATGGACCACCTTCTAATAAGAGTGCCTACAAACCTACTGCCATGTGTATAATTGGCTTATGTGTGTTACATGTAAGTGGAAGCCTTTCATCCAGGCACAGTTGAAGGAATGGTAGCATAGTGAACTGATGCTACCTGTGCCAGCTCTAGCATGCTTACCTTACTATGATCTCATCCCCTAAGGAGGCAGAGCAGCTAACACATATATATCATGTCGGACGAGAGCTTTGTTTGTTATTTCGCGCATTCACAGAGGGAAGGTATGGATTCCGAGTCTAGGCTCTATACTATAGTTGTACAGCTAGTTTCACCAAAGCATTGTACTTCGTCGAATGTGTGGCAAATTGCTGTGAGTCTTATTGCCTTTACCCACACCAATAGCTGAAGCTGTAGATAAGAGAAGATGACAATCCCATAATAATTATGCAAATTCACAGCTAGTGACAATTCCTACGTAGATTTTAGACACTAGGGTCTGTTAATTTTTGTAGAGAATACCTGCAAAGACATATGGAATGCAGGGAATGGGTTGTCGGAGTGACGCAGATCACCTGCCTACTGGAGTATCTGCTTATGCTGTGTCATAGCAGAAAAGGAAGATGGCAAGTGGGAGAAATTGCCTTCTAGACAGTAGCTATACATGTGTACACTACGGTGATAATTGAAACAAAGTGTATGTATGGCCACCATTTTTACTCAACGCTATGGAGATTGCCTTCAAACTCTCTGAGCTTTTATAATTGGCTCGTGAAGCCTTTCACCATGAGGTAGTTTCCTTTGTAGCAAGGGAATCTAAGTATAGTGCAGGGCATAATATTTATAGCTATATAGGAGCTCTGGGCTGATTGAGGCCAATGGCTTAGCCAAAGATGAGTAGATAGGCCGAAACAATTAGCATTGACATAGCAATAGCAGTTAGGAATGCCCAATAGCCATCCAAAGAGTATAAAACAGTGCAGCAGGGAACCAGCAGGAGATTATCACACCCCCTCTTTCGTCAGCCTCCTTTTCCCACTACCTCTAAAGGAGGAGTGCGGAGACAAGTTTCTATTAGGAATTGGGAATTGTATAGTAAACTAGCTGGACTTCAGGTCATGATGACTGAGTTTGACTTCAGACTTTCTGACCTGCCCTCTGGTTTGTCCACAGGAGATTCACTTCAGGTGTTGAATCAGCCAGATCGGAGGTCCCCCTATACAAAGATCCCTATCTGCAGTTTAACTCCAAAAGCAGCTCAACTGCGAAAGTGCTATAATACTGTTTGCAGAGTGAGGGAGGAGGGGAATGCATTATAATTATTATAGCTACCAAGAAGCTTAAGACGTAATAATTTGCAGTGACAACTCTTAACAACACCATTGTTCTGTTTATGGCAGTAATATTCTGAGAAAAATATTGAACATGGCATTTACACTTGCAGCAGGACATTTTGTCACAATATTAACGGCCAATGTAAAACACTGGAGGTGACCATTTTGTTATGGCAGTAAAATCAATTGCTATCTTTCATGGTGTTTACAACTGCAGATTTAGACATTGGTAGTCAAATAATTTTGTGAACAATTTTCCCAATTGTGTATAAGAAAATTGAGATAATTAGCATGGCAGAGTCAATAACTATGGAACCTCTTTCCCATTGTTCATTGTAGTCTGTGCTAAAGGTTCTGACACCCTAATCTAAAATCATACCAATATATAGCTTGATACCATTCTTGACTCTCCCACGACCGGGATGAGATAACTTGATTTATACGCAGCAGTACACGTCATAGCTACTGTACTCGGCCAGCGACCATACATCTAGTTAGTAGAAATCCTCACCTCGGTCGAGGGAGAAACCTTTATGCGCCTGTGCTGGAGCTGCTAAAATACAGGCGAGAGAGTCAACAGCGACATTAAAGTAATTGCGACAACTGGACATCACGTCGTAGGAGCGCATGATTATATACGAGTGGCTGCGTAGTACTCGTCATCTGTCACGGACCACTGCGCGCTGTCCCGGATTGCCCTCTGGAAAAGTTGGCAACTATGCAGTGACTGAATACCTTTCTCTACTAACTGAAGTCCTAATCCCCTAAGGATATTTCTGCTCTTGAACGTATCCAACTGAGGACTTCATGCTCCTACAGAGAGAGAAAGATGTAGCTAAACTCCTTGTTACAGTGGCAAGCCAGCAGATATTTCAACCCTGAGTGATTGTGACAATTTAAATGCAGTACATTCACCTGCTCTATTTCTTAATGGACAGGCTATTGCTAAAGTCTTTCACTATGGTCTCTCCTGGAGTTGGCACATCCATGAGTTATATATGAGTTAAGAAAATGCACTGTCTTTTTATCTTTCTACAGTTCTACTCTTTCATGTCTGGAGTATGCATGCGAGGTTTGGAATCCTTTACTTTTAAACGTAATTGAGAAACTTCAAAAAACCATTCAGAAATTTGCCCTAAGACTTTCTGTAAAACAATGGGACCTAGATTACACTTCCACTAAGTCTGGACTAGGCTCCTAAAAAGAGTTTTCTCTGTTCCTTTCTCACTCTGCGCGAGCTATAAAATCAAGGATTGATGGAACAGTAGTGATGGGTTTTAGTACATGTAAACATCGACAAGGCCACAGAGCAAGGCAAGGCCAAGAAAATGAATGTTGTCCAGAAATAGTGACACAGAAACCCTGCGACACACATGCACTATAATTCCTCTTCTCTACTCTTTAAAACGAGACTTTTGACACTCAATATTAACATTACCCCTGATCATAGAGATGATACGAGTACGAATGTCCGTACTCCATACTCTGAGGATGTCTTTCACATCCTGTTTTCCTCAAGGACTCGGCCTCCTATAATTTCCTTTGTGCAATTTTCTGATCTTAACACTCAGGCCTCATCTCAGCTCACATTGGAATAATTCGAAGCAGCACGCGTCAAAACATTATTTTAGCAGAGTTTCTTGTTTCCCATAAAGTGACATCCCTGAATTTCATCAAAGAAATGAAATTTTCACAGGTTTACGTCCTCACCTATGCACTGCTAGAAAACCCAGATGATAAAAAAGTAGGCGAATTTTGAATTTTGGTCTCATTAGATGTTGTTTCCCTTTTTTTCAAATAGCTGTAGCTACTCACTCTTGTTTGACACATTAAACCGTCCGCGTGCGTACTCGGTCTTACCACGTTTTCTGTCACCACGCGCAACAAACAGGTAAAAAAAGCGCCACCAACGGGTTCAGCGCTGCACTGGCTTCGTTTTTAAAATGGCGATTTTCGTAAAAGTGCTGCGTTCAAAAGTTATGGCGTGAAAACCAAGTTAAATTTAAGAAGCCAATAATTATGCTAATTATCACAGGCCTATCTCGACCAGGTCCGCTTGCTCTATATCTTGAAGGCACAAGAAGTCACAACAAAAAGGGCCCTACTGTCGCTAGCCTGTGTTAGACTCTCTGCGAGCTATATACTAGCGCGAAGACATAATAATAGCCCAGCCCCATCAATTAGCGACACCGCACATACGCAGTTCACCGAGGGTTGCATGCACTTCAGTGCTTTTCATTCATACCATGACTTATTTTGTGTGCTAAAATTATGGCAGAATTATTAGCAGCCTGCGCATAATCACAACTTGTTACCGAACGAGTATTACAAAAAACGTACTTCTAACTAAACAACAACACATTGTTCAACACGGTCCAGTGCTCCATATCCACCCACTATGATGATCTTGTCAGGTGATGGACTGGCTACTAAACAGTGGCTCCTATGACTAGTCATAGATCCAATCTCCACCCACTGTCCATCCACTACCTGGTGAATGGAGTTGACTTTTGTACACCGCCTTGACTGCCACCAATGAGTACTAGCTGTCCACAGAGAATGGCAGCTGTTGAGTATTCCACTGGTAGAGGAGGGAGAGATGTCCATGATATGAGGTGTGGTATTGACTGTGGTGGGATTGGTTTGTCACTAGATGGTAGAGCTGCAAGAGAGCACGAGTAGCCTTCATCATTCTCTCCTATCACATGTACTATATCACCACATATTGTGGCCAAAGGGTAGGAGAGAGGTTGTGGTAAGTCTGTTAGTTGGTACCATCTTCTGCTCTTCAATTGAAATAGTTCAACTGTAGCAGTCCAACTGAAACCAACATGCCCCCCAATCACAATGAGGTATTCACCATCAGATGTACTAACTACAGCAGGAGAGGAACGTGCAGTGTTCATTGGAGGATATTTTTCGGCCCATTTCCTCTGTCGTAGTGTGTATAGTTTGTTAGAATGACTATATCCACCCTCTCCCCCCACAGCAGTTAGTTCCCTGTCAATAAAGACTAGTCCGGAGTGACGATGTGGACATGAAGGAAGTTCCTCCCATTTCTCTGTATTACATTCATATTGGTAGACTGAGGTGCAGTGTTCTGGGGTGAAGTATGTAAATCGACCATCAGTTGTTGTAGACCCACTCCTCATTTTACATGGTGCTGTCTCCTTACGATGACACTGCACAGTGAGCTGAGGGGAGATCACATGACATGTAATGACCATGAACGATATCCGTCACACGACTCACAAAATCATTAAACACACAAAATGGGCAACATTAAGTAATAGGCATGTCTTCAATTTCGATCGATCACCATTCACCATATCCCAAAATTAATTGTGGCATCGCTAGCTCCTGTCATGATAGTGAAAGTGTGAACAACAAATATTTAATGTGCAAACCTTTCTGGGTTTAATATTGACTGTGGTATATACAGGTATAGGTTGTACGATGGCGGCACAGTTGTCTATATACTGGTTATACTCGCATACTTGCCCACCGTCCCACATTCCGCGGGACTGTCCCGCAAAAATCAGTGGCGTCCCGCTGTCCCGCAGCAGAGCCTCATTGTCCGATGTCCGACCAACACTCCGCGTCACTGCATGCGCAGGGAGTTTATCAAAAAGTGCAGGAAGAAATGAAAAAGTGTGGGAAATATTCCTGCAAAATCCTTGTATTTTTGACATGTGCAGGAAGAATTTAAAGCTTCCTTATATTCTTCCTGCACATGAGCAAGTTGTGCCGGAAACTTCCTACATTTTGCCTGAAATTCCTGCACATGTAAGAAATTCCCGGCACATTCCCCATACATTATGATATGGGTTTCTTATTTAAAATAGACAGTGTTTGTAGTGCTTCTGTCCAGCAATTTTTCTTCATGTCCTGCATTTCTGAACAAAGTGTCAAGTAAAAATGGTTGGCAAGTAGCTATGTGCTCGCGAGTGGCAAGTTTTGGATAGGGCACGAGGGCGCAGCCCGAGTGGTCTATCAAAACTGAAGCCACGAGTGTGCAACCAGTAGACCACAAGCAAAGCCATCGTACAAGATGACATCCGGCGATAAGGCTTTGACCAATGACATTTTGCAAAAGCTTTTAAAATGCCACCTCGTACATGCAGCGGGGAGAGAGACGGCTGCGATGAGTGCTTTAGAAACAACGGCCATTTCTTGAGAGTTCGGGTACGTCAAAGCTACTTTTTTTGCCGCTGGACTGCACACGTAAGTTTTATTGCTGTCCCTCTGGCTCGTTTTCTCTCCCGATACCCAGGCGCTCTTGAATGCGCGGTTTAGCAACGGTCATTTCTCAAGAGTTCGGGTATGTCAATCCACGTGTCAGTTTTATAATGGCACACTTTCTCTCCTGCCATACCCAGTGCTCTTGAATGCAGCGTGTTACAGACATGCAGTCACTGAATGTCCACGGGAGCGTATGCTTCATCCTTTAACTGTGAATCGTGTACTCTTCTGCATCGCTTCGTTTACTCAAAAAACTATCTAGCTACCCATAGACTGGCAGGACTAGGCAGGAAGCGCTCACTACGCTATGTCTACACTGTTTGTACTAGCTGGAATTCCTTTGATCTTACTACACATCATCATACAACTGTTGGTAGAAGACGTGGAGTAAACTTTTCACAGCCAGTAAGACTGACCTTTGTCCTCTGAGTCCGCTCGGAGTCTCTCTGCTGGAGAGTCTTCTGGAAGTCAGCCACTGGAGCCTCACTTGATCGCAGCTGTTTCTCCTGCAGTCAGGAGGACCTCTAGTCACAGACACACCCTACAGTTATCACTAGTCACCTTCTGTCTCAGTTGCTGCTGTTCTCTCCTGATAGTCTCCTCTGCTCTTGTCAGCTCTGCTCCTTGTCTAGCCAGCTCTTCCTCCTAAAATGCGAAACACAAAGTCATCACCTACGTAGACACATGGCAGAGTTACCTTCTGTCTTAGTTGCTGCTGAGTCTCAGCTAACTCTGCTTGAAGCGGCTGCTGTTCTCTCCAGATAGTCTCCTCTGCTCTTGTCAGTTCAACTCCTTTTCTAGCTAACTCTTCCTCCTAAAATCAGAGACACTGCGTCATCACGTAGACACACGGCAAATTCACCTTCTGTCTCAGTTGCTGCTGAGCCTCAGCTAGCTCCCTGTCCTTGGCCTATGAGAGGGAGGATTCGTGCCAGTACTCATTATGTTTCTACCACGGCAATGCCGTAATGTAATTCTGGGGGACTATCTGCCACAGCAAAACTGAGTAACTGTTACTCTTTACCTGATTCCTGAAGTGTAGTTCCTGCATGCTTGACAGGAGATCTGCATTCTCCTGATATTTTCGAAATTCGCTATCAAACTCTATTTTTATGACAGTATCAGTGAGACCCTCACCTGGTTCATGGACTGCAGTTGTTGCTGTAGCTCCTGCACACGAGACTGCAGATCTCTCTCCAAACTCTGCACAAAACAAATCCAGTTTAAGTTGCAGAGAACACAGCATTACGGCACACACACTCCCTCACCTGGCTCCTGGGCTGGGTCTGAGCAGCTTGCACCTCTTCCCATCCGCTGTCTCTGACTCCAGCTCTGGCCTCCTCCAACAGACGCAGCACCTCACGAATGCTCGGACGTTTGTGAGGACCGTTGTGCAGGCATTGCTGGATCAGCCGAATGAGAGGGTGGTCGCCACGCAGCTGGCCACAGGCACTGAGTTGCTCGTTCACGTTTCGCATATACGCGCTGCGTCGCTGTAGTTCAGTGCGAGCTACTAGCAACCCAGTTTCATCATTGAGATAGTTGGGCTCTAGAGGATCAGAGGGGAAGACCTCACCGATTGTGAAAATGGCAACTACTCCAAGAGAGAATACATCGATACTGGAATCGTATTTTGACTTTTGGGCATTCGATTTAGCAGGAGCACTGGCTTCTGGAGGCATGTAGACCGAGGCCCCAGGTCCCTTTGTCATGGTGGCTGCAGCTCTCATACGAGGCACGATACGAGACACGCCCAAATCCACGATCTTGGCTACCATCCCCGAGTTCAGGAGCACGTTTCTGGCCGACAAGTCGCGGTGGGTGACGGGCAGCGTTCGCTCGTGGAGGTAGGTTAGACCGCACGCCACGTTGTGCAGGATCGAGCACTTTAGGCTCAGCGGAAAGAACGGCTTGGGCGTGTTGGGCGGGGGAGGCGGGTCCGTTTCTGGGTCCAGCAAGTCGTGCAGGCTGGTCAGCAGTCGCTCCATGACGAGGGCTGGCAGTCGCGAGCCGGGAAAGAAGGCGACGCCCAGAAACTTGACGATATTCGGGTGGTCGAGGGTGCTCATAAGCTGACATTCCCTCACGAACTGGGCCGTAGCTCTGCGGATCTCGGCCGCGGGGATCTCGGAGCGGTCCAGGAAGATGTCGTGGATTTGTTTGGCGGCGCAGATGGCTCCAGGCACGGCCACCTCCTCCACGCTGCCGTAGGCTCCGGCGCCGATTCTGATGCCAGTGAGTCGCACGTTGAGGAGGACGAACGGCCTCAACTCAGGATACTCAGCGAGAAGGCCTTCCGCGGCCATTTGTCGTGCTGTGAGTCGCGACAGTCTAATCTTGTTGGTCTCTTAGTAGCTACGGTTCAAGATGACCAGGGCCCCGGCGCTCTGCGCCGCAGTCGCGACCCCAAAAATGTTGTAACAACTTACGCACACCAGCGTTCGTTAAATAAGAATACGGACCGCTCACCGATCCGCGCGCACGTCTGATGAGGAGGTAGGTCGGTTAACTTTACGTGTCCGGAGTTACCCCCATTTACCTTACTATACGCATGTAACGGCGACAGGTAGATCTGTCTTGCTTCACGAAAGGAAAGCTGTGCGCTGATGCACGTTATGCAGCCCGAACATCGCAGACAAATCCCAAGTTGGGTCGCTCCCGCTCGCCAACAATGTTCAACATTTCCACTAGGGGTAACACCCCGGACATAACTCGCTATTCAGAAACAAGAGAAAGATTCGGATATATTTCACTTGATTACTACCTGCCAAAGCGCTAACAAATTCCTCGTGTTTTTTTCGCAGCGCATAATTTCGAGGCCGCCCCATGTCCGGAGTTACCACCATTTACCTTACATCGGCAGAACGGTGAGCAGGTCAGCAGAACGGTATATACTTACCTTACGATTTCACCTTGGTCGTGGTCTACCAGGCAGCTGGCATGCAGCACGAGCAATCCTAGCGTATTTGCAAGTTGAACCTTGGAACCATGAAAATTGGGAAGAGGTACAGCTTCGGTCAGTCACCGAAGGTTCCAGCGCATTCCGTCGAATGGAGGAGAGTTCTCTCGCTGGCTAGATCGATCGACCTTTGTAAAGCATTTGAAACTGTCCCACACCGCCCTCTGCTTTATAAACTACGGGATTCGGGGATTCCACGCACTGTATATACTAAAGTGGCTTTTTTCATATCTCCATAATCGCAAACAATTTGTTGTTCTCAGTGGTCAGCGATCTTCTATTAGTTCGGTTTGTTCAGGTGTCCCACAAGGATCAGTTCTCGGACCTCTACTTTTCCTGATTTACATCAACGATTTACCTTCAGTGCAGTTAACTCCAGGGACACGAGTTGTTCTCTATAATTATTATGCTGATGACATTCTACTATACAGAGAAATAACCAATCACAGTGACTATGATTCACTCCAAAGTGACATAGACTCCATCTCTCAGTGGGTTGTATCCAATCACCTTAATATAAATAAAATACACGATCGTATCCAGACTAGTGAGCAGAAATATTCTTCCCCCTGGGCCTCTAATGCTTTGTGACCATGTTCTTGAGAGAGTTTCTTCCTATAAATACCTGGGAGTTACACTCTCAAGCACATTGGGATGGTCCACACACATACATGACATCTCTACTAAAGCGAAAAGAGTGCTCGGCTTCATCTATCGTCAGTACAGCTCACACTTGTCACAGTCTTCTCTGTGTATCTTTCACTGGTCCGTCCTCATCTATATATGCGTCCCAGGTCTGGAACCCTCATCTACAGATAGACATAATTAAGCTGGAAGGGGTGCAGAAATTTGCACTTAAAATCTGTCTCAAGCAGTGGCACCTACTTACAAGCTATATCTCTCTGTGTGTTCCCTACGTAACCTGCAAACTAGGAGGGATTTTCTGAACTTATGTTTGCTATACAAGATTTCGAACAACTTATGTGACTTTCCAGACTTTCCACTACAGAGGAGGATTTTCAATTATCCCCACAGAAGTACTTCTACATTTGTTTTGCAAAGTCTAACTATTTTCTTTCTTCTTTCTTTCCACATACCTCTAACCTATGGAATTCTTTACCTCCCGCTGTATAACCTCCGCCACATCTCTATTATCATTTTATACACAACTTATTCAATCACTTGAGCACAATGTCTTAAAGTTTTTGGAGGGTCAATGAAAGAAAAGTAAACTTCACCCTTCAAAAATTACAAGGTTAACTCACCTAATAGCCCCCCAAGTCCCACCCCAGGTCACCTACACGTTCATCCCTTAGCATGGGCGGAGCCCATTGGGGATGTTGGCCAAAGGACTGGGTCTCATCGGGCAGGTGGGCGTGTTAGGGGTATTTCCACCTTGGAGGTGGAGCCGCCTCATTAAGGCTCCACCCCTGCCCAAGGAGTGGGAGGAGGTACGACCTCCCAAACACACACACCCTCAACAATGTGGAGCACACAACATCGACGGCAACAGACATTATACAGCTATGACCAGTGTTAGCAACAGCCCGTGCATTAGCTAACGGATTAGAGTACTACGCTAGGTGCCCGGGGAACTCTGTAGCGCAAGAAAGCTGCTGTATTGCCGAGTCCAGGATTCCCGCTTGGGCGGCAGCGGTTGCGGTTGCGGCACCGATCCTGAGCTATGTCCGGAATACCCGGCGATGGGTACACCTGCCCGAGCCAGTGTCGACCGTACCAAGTCAACGAAGCGGGCCTTAGAGAGTGGACAGCCATCCAATGAACGGAAAAACGCCCCTGGGGACTCACCGCGAACGGCGACGTACGACCGGACGGCCTGGATCGGGCAGAGCCCGTCGCGCGTGGCGCCGATGAATAAAGTAAGCCACCGATAATCGGACGCCATGTATTCTCGGACGCATTTGTGAAGTCTGTGCAGGACTAGATTGGCTACTGTGTATACCAAAGTGTAGTTCTTTGTCATAAACTGTTGTATAAAAATCTTCGCTCTTATCCGAGCTTTACAGTGGGAATGACGTTGCCGTAAAGTTACGACTCGGGCACAGCAAAGTTCGGACAAGGCCATCAAAGGTAGGACAGTCTCCCAAAACGGGAACAGTATGAATGATCCAAGCGAGTGTATGCTCGATTGATAGCTGTACCTTTTGGCTATGCAGCGACCCGAAAGCGCAAATAGGCGGGGTCGCGTTTTACGCGAAAAGCAGTTTTCGGCTTGGTTCTTCTAACACACGCGCCGGATGAAGCTATAAAATTTTCTCCTCGTTCTTCTTGCCTTATATTAGATGCCTGTAGCACGATTTCCGTTTTTGTGGGATATAACTTTTTATTGGTAATTACAAAAAAATTTTATTGATAATTACAAAAAATTAAAATCTTACAACTACGGAAATCGTGGTGCAGGCATCTAATATAAGGCAAGAAGAACGAGGGAAAAATTTTATAGCTTCATCCGGCGCGTGTGTTAGAAGAAACAAGCCGAAAACTGCTTTTCGCGTTTACGCGACCCCGCCTATTTGCGCTTTCGTGAGCAAAAATAGCGAAGACAAAAAAGGGCCATTTGTGGGTCGCTGCATAGCCAAAAGGTACAGCTTTCAATCGAGCATACACTCGCTTGGATCATTCATACTGTTCTCGTTTTGGGAGACTGTCCTACCTTTGATGGCCTTGTCCGAACTTTGCTGTGCCCGAATCGTAACTTTACGGCAACGTCATTCCCACGGTAAAGCTCGGATAAGAGCGAATATTTTTATTCAACAGTTTATGACCAAGAACTACACTTTGGTATACACAGTAGTCAATCTAGTCCAGCACAGACTTCACAAATGCGTCCGAGAATACATGGCGTCCGATTATCGGTGGCTTACTCTACCTCCGTGCCCCGGCCGTATTGATCTGTCTTCGACCGCTTGAGGAAGACGCGTAGGGCCTGGTTGTCCCCTGAGATGGACACGTCACCCCACGCCAGGTGCAAACTCGGGTCGAAAGCTGACGCGCTGGAGGCCGTGATCTCGCCGGTGCTAAAGAAGCCGAAAAAACAGACAGCGGCGGCGGCCCAGAGTAAGCGCTCCTCCTAGCCCGGAGCCGATCGGCGTAACCGCCGGAGATGGGGTGGAGTGATCGGGTGGCGTGTTGGTGGGCTGGGGCCTGAGCTAGCGCCCATACGTAGGCGTGGCAGGGATGATGACTCCCGCGGTTTGGGGTGCCCCGCATAATCTGGGCGTACCGGACAGCAGCCACGGATGCCAGCCGTTGGGCTGCGATCGCCACTGACTCCACTGAGCGAGCACAGCTGGGCCTCGATACGCTTCCACCCTCCGTGTTGGACAGGATCTCGCCGGTGCTAAAATCGGTGATCAGTCTCCATCGGCCAGGGGTGTTGGCCTTTCGGGACCACCCCCATTCTGTTTATGTGTAGCCCTGGGATCTGACCTGGGCCCGACATCCTCCTCCCATCCACCTCCTTGGACAGGTAGCTGCTGATCGCTGCCGACTGCATATTGCTGGGCGCATGATGAAGAGTGCTTCCTTGGGCGAAACCGACACGGAGGCCACTCGCCAGCACATATCGCACGAACACCCTGTAGGGTGGCCTGACAGCCTTATAAATGCCAACGTGGCAGACAATCCGTCAATGGGGATGCAATGAGCCGGAGGGCTCTGCTGTGTCAGAGGACGCCTGCCATCTAAAGCCAGCAGGGCCTTTGAATAGGTATACGGGCCCGAAAGTTTGGGAGAGGGTGTTTATGTTTGTACACCTGAATGTTTCCATTTTGCAGCAGCAATACAACACAACACAACAATGCACTAATTTACGCGGGGGCGTGCCCGTGTAGCACCACCTCTGCGTACGTATACACTAGCTAGCTGCTGAGTGTCTGCCAGGGTTGGCCGGGTTCTAGGCCGCCGAGGGCGGGGATGGCTCGCGGGTTTTGGAGGCGGCTGGCTGGTCGCCGGAAGAGGCGGGCTGCTGTCGCCTATCACCGCACTCCGCCGCAGAGTGGGGGCGTCCGCACAGGTGCGCGTAACGGCACTGAGAAAAACGGCACCTCGAGCCCCCCGGGGAAATAGCCGACAGATCTCAGCCGACACCGGCCTGTTGGGCGAACCCTGCGGTTGGCGGGGGGGCCGAGCGAGACGGCCATCCGGTTGGCCTGGGAGTGCATCATGCTGCCAGCCAATGTCCAACTGAGGCCGCTCGTGCGCGCTCTCTACTGACTGCGCGCGAAGCCAGACGAATCTGCGCGCACGGCGGAAGCTAGACGTGAATGACGGAAGCTGACATTCCTAAGCGTGACTAATTGACATTCTTAAGCGTGACGACACGTACGTACGTACGTACGCACGCATATACAACCCGGAGTTAGTTGCCTCACGCTAACGCGCTCGGCAACAACGGTAAACTTCACTCTTCAAAAACTAAAAGGCTAAACAACACCCTTCAAAATTACAAGGGTAAACCTAACCCTTCAAAAGATGTAGCTAAGAACTTTACCTCGAAAGGTATTACTACAAGTTGTAAATCGGCTAGGATGGCTCGTGCAGATACTGTCATTCAGTGCGTGCTCTCTCCCGCTCACCAAAAATGCCCTGCTACCTCCGCTCTAAAAGAACCACCAACCAGGCTACTCTATGTGAGTGCTACTCGCGCGCGCGTCCAGTTGGCAGCTGCGCAGTCGCAATTGGGAGGGGAGTGGCAGCATTTCTATAGCAAAAACCGATAGTTTCTGTATAGTCGACAGACGCACGGAGATCTTTGTGTGATCACAGAGATGGGAGGAAATACCCAATCCAAGAAAGGAACGATACAAAGACCAACAAAGCGGCCCTTGCCAAACTTGGCCGGGCAATTTTCGGAACTCCAACCGTTTTTACTCGACGATGTAAGCCACGATATGACCGAATTGGGATCAGGTTCTTATGCAGTTGTAAAGAAGATAACTCGCAGGGGAGAAACGTACGCTGCAAAACAGCTACATGCATCCCTTTTTCAGTTCGCCTCTCCTGAAGAGAAAAATTTTTTGCTGTCGCAGTTCGCCAGAGAGTGTAGACTGCTGCAGAGAGCAGCACATCCGAATGTCGTCAAATTTGTTGGCTTGCACCTGGACCAGACGCTGCCCCTCCCCTATCTTGTTATGGAGTATATGCAAGCAACATTATCAGGTCATCTCGACAAGAATGGTAGCCCGGACTCGCCTACTGCCCTACGAATACTCTCTGATGTAGCCCTCGGTCTCCAGTTTCTCCACAAGCACATTCCTGCCATCATTCACAGAGACCTCTCCGCAAATAATGTCCTTTTGAGCTCAAATTTACTGGCTAAAATATCTGACCTGGGCATGGCAAAGATAATTGACCAAGGAGGGCAAAAGTCTAAAATGACACAAACCAAAGCACCAGGAACTCCGTCCTACATGCCCCCCGAGGCTCTCCGAGATAAGCCGCATTACGACACAAGCATTGACACCTTTTCGTTTGGTGTCCTAATGGTTCATGTCCTAAGTGGACAGTGGCCATTGCCTGTTCATGGCAACAAGGTGGACCCCAATAATCCCAACCAGCTGATAGCTCTAACTGAATTTCAGTGTCGCATGAAGTACATAAAGGACGCTGGGCTAGATCACCCTCTAATGCCACTCATTGAGGATTGCCTCCACAACAACCCAATGAACCGACCCAATGCTCCTGACATTGCAGAAACAGTCATGGCAGTCATGGTATGATACAGTGCATAGTACAACTCCCACATTGGTAGCGCTTGCCTGGGCATTATTGTCCCCAGGGAAATGTGTAGGTATGCTAAAAATGTAGATTCCTTGATGATAATGGATTTTATAGCACTATACATGCTATGTTTTGGCGAATCTGTCAATAACGTTTGTGTGACAGCTCTTGATAATGCTAAGTTCATCAAAACAAACTAATTTTGCCTTATGTTTGGCCACCTGCTACTTCTTTAACTGCAATATCTATCTGTTTCAATGTTCAAAAATATTCACCTGCTCATTGCATAGACTAAGAGAGGAAAGAACTGTTAGTTTAGTTGTGCGTGCAGTGGTTTTAAGATCTATGTTATTAACATACACTATCTGCTTTGTACAAAATAGGACACCTACACAATGTCGCCTATTAGAGTAAAATTACAATGGCTTTAAGTGTGCCAACATTTATATTATATGTGGCACACTTCTTACCATGTACTTATTATTATGTTGTTGTACACTCTATATGTACTTGTCTTGTCAGTGTGAGTGTATAGTATAATATATCCATGGAGGCTCATAGTAAGTAAACAAGTTAGCTTCCCCGTAACCAAATGATATTCATTGGCACTCAGACCTATAGAAAACAACTAATGATTATTTTTTGCTGGCATTTGTGGGTGTATAAGGTTATGTTGGGCCCTAATATCCATGTATACGTTTGTGACATACGGTATCAGTATGACCATTAACCCTTGGTGTGCATGCGCAGCGAGGGTTACTGTAGTTGTCGTGTGTGTCTGTCTGCCCAACATATCACTTCATGCATGAGCCATGAATCGCTCCACAAACAATACCAGGTATTCGTCGGTTATAGGTCGAAACGTATATAGGATTTTCTCTGCGATCGAGAGTTACGGCGTGAAACATGAGCGAAAAAGCCAATATGCTAATTAGAACAGGCTTACCTCAAGCGGGTTCGCTCTCTCTCTCTGTATCTTGAAGGCACAAGAAGTCACAACGAAGGTTGTGTATCGACTCCCCCATGTTATCTACTGCTGTAGCTAGCCCGTGTCAGACTCTCCACGAGCTAATAGCGGGAGATCACGAGTATACGCATGCTAATAGCCCAGCCCATCAATTAGCGGTATCGCGCATGAGCAACATACAATGATGTACAGTGCACTTAATATCATACCAATATCGCTTTTTCATTATCATTGGTTTGTAGGCGGATGAAATAATGCCCAAAATCTATGTGGCCATCAAGAATTATGAATCTAAAACATCCTACGAACTGAGTTCACAAGTTGGAGAGAGATTTCTGGTGTATGGAGATGCACTCAGTGGAGGGTCTTTGGTAAAGGTTGCCTCAAGAAGTAGTCGTCAGGTTGGCTACATACCAAAGGGAACCATACACAAACTTGAAAATTTGTAAGTCGCAAGAAAGGTATCTGTACCATGCACTTACTGCACTACTACTTCTTGTGCCCAGATACATGTCTACGAAAATCTATATAGCTCAGAGAAAAGAAGAGGTGAGCATATCCAGCAAAGAGTTTATGTTTGTTCTCGATCGTGAAGGAAGCTGGTTGTACGTGGAGGTACTCTCCAGTGGAAAGAAGGGCTTGGTTCCTAACAAACACATTGTTAAATTTAAACCCATGGATGAAACAGAGTGAGTCAAATCTTCTATGCTAAGAATTTTAATGTGTTAATGATTGTAAGACAGTTGCATCTCTGAACAAGGGACTGTTCGGGGGGGGAATGTGTCCCTTGCAGATAAGCTGTCCAACTTTGGGGTATTTACAATATTTATAGTTACTTTCTTCCATTTATTGCGACTTGGTAAGCAATGTAGCTCATGTTTCAGGACAAAGGATAGATGTGATACATCTAGTTTCTAGATGTGCACAGAACATACAATGATGTACAGTGGGTCCCACTTAATATCATACCGTTTAATAGAATATCCCGTTTATTATCATACAAACCTGAAATCCCAAAACGTTTCCTATGCTTTCCCATACATTTTACCCCGTTTTATAGAATACGGCTAATGTCATATCCCACCTATTACCATAGAGAAATTGAGAGCAATTTTTGGTTTTTGCCCGCTATTGTCATTATGCACATGCATAATTAGACATTCTACAACCTTGGGCTGGAGTTATGGAACTCTCCATTCTCAGCCTGGCTTCATTAGCTTATGTAAACAGCTAGGCTAGCCTAGCTTGATTAGAACTGCATTGTGGATGTCTGGGTCACAGTATTACATTGGTTTACACGCCCATAGCATACACAGTATACACACCCGCATTGTAGATATCCCGAATATTATCATAATTTTTGGATGCACCATGGGTCGGTATGATATTAACCGGGACCCACTGTATTGCATTTCTGTGTAGAGTAATGAAGAGGATGTAGCAAGTCCTAAAAAGTGCTGTGATCTTTGTGTGATGGGCAAATGCATTCAATGTTTTTGAGGGAGTATTGATGAGACTGAGCTTGAGTATTGTGGGAGTCGTCTTCTGGAATAATTCCTGGAGGTTGTATTATAGTGATTATAACAAAAGCCTAATATAGTGCATGCTCAGTAGCCTCTAACAAAATAGCAAGAGCGTAGTGATTGTTGAGCCATTAGATGGCACTTGGATATGAGGGGAGCGTTCTTCATACATGCTAACCCCAATCATGATGCAAGGCAAGCGAAGAGGAAGTTTCATGCAGTTAATGACGGCCATCATCAAAAGCAAACGGCAAAAACCTTGGTTCTATGTTATGTTTTACAGCTTTGCCTCCAGCATCCTAGCCAAATACGGCAGACTTAGCGACTTAGGGTAACTAACTAGGGGCTTGTTGGTAAACATACAGCATAAACTTAGGCTCACTACTACCAGAAAATGGGCATGATGTAGGACTGGGAGCTGTCTTCTTTCAGATCTAGCCGTACTGAAATCACTTCTAGCCTGCCTAGTGTCAATTGTACTGTGCAGGAGACACCAAAGGGGACACATACAAAACAATCGGTCGTTATCACAGCGAACTTGCATGGTTGGCTTGCTACTGCTCACTATAATTATTATTATAACTGGTTTGCACAATTGTGAGCATCTTCTGGGTGGCTGCCCAAAACTGCAATAAACCGGATGTTAAAGTCGTAAAACTCGAGAAAGGAAGTTTCTTTTAAAATAAAAAAGTTGCAGGTGATTAAATTCAAGATTGAAACTTGCGAATTGCACAAAGTGCAAAATAGAAAGGTGGTACCTATCGGCAACTTCAGCGTGAAAATGCATTCCAACCTTGTAGATCCCTTAAGTATAATGAAAGCGAACGTAAATTTATTACTGACTTCTGATCAATCAGATGCGTGGAAAAGTGTGCATTAGAGAAGAAGATGAAGAATATTGTGACGATGACACGACATTCGTGAAATCGCGTATGAGCAAATTGTCGCGTGGAGGACTGAAGGTGCATATGAGGTCTTGGGGCATACGTATGTATAGCCAGATATGGGCCCGTAGACTACTACTAGTGTGTTTTTAGGCCTAGGGAGTCATTCTCACTAAGCTTTTCGACGTTTTGTACGCAGATCACGTGAGATTTGACCCATGCCATCCCTACATAGAGCATGTGCGTGAAAACATTACGGTATGTTGGTCCGTTGGTCGTTGCATAAAAATTCTGCATTAAGACGCTTAGGTGGGCTCTCCAACAATTGGCCGATTTGAAAAGGGCCAGAAGTGTAAAACTGGTAATATTACACAGCCAATTACCCTTTTGTATACTCTTTTCTGATGCTATGCTATAATGTGTATGTGCATAGTCGAATGTGAATTGTCTCTCTCCCTCTGTGACACTCAATCTTCATCCAAGGAAAAATAGTTTGAGGAAGGGGATAAATCTGCTCATCTCACTCATTATTATAACTCTAACTTAACATTGGACCCTTCAGACCCTCATCAAATTGGCAGTGTTATACTTCACTGCTCGCTCAACTGGTAGATTGTAACGCCTCCAAACAACCAGAGTAGGCAGAAGTCCCACAAAGAGGCTAACGACTGTAATCCTCATGGCTGCCTCTTTGAACGCTATTATGGCTGTGTGACCAACTCAGCACAACATTCTATCCGTAACTCAAAAGAGATTTTCATTCGAAGTATGTAACAAGTTATTCAGCAATAGAACAACCTGAAGGTAGTATCTCGGTCCAGTCTGCCATGTTGAGGATATCAGATAGCAGATTGGCAGCCCACACACGGAGTTGGTTTTAAACACTTTGATAGCATATCCTTCATACATTGTGCAATGTTGTGAGTTTATTGGTTTGAGGGGTTAAAATTGCTCGGCCTTTATCGTTGTACACCTGACAATCCCCCTTGTCCGTGGTGCCTTCTGATTTGCCACTTGCTACCAAGAGAAGGCCACCAACTCCAGGAGCAAGGAATACCAGACTTGGAGAGGCATATTAGTATAGCTATCACGGTCTAACTTTCCTGTAGAAATCTGCCTATTAGGCCAGGCCCAACACTTGATGTGGATTTGGGGTGCTATTGCCCAGTGGTGGATCCCCCTTAATATCATTTTGCGCGCATGCATCGCCGGCCTCGTGTGCAGGCACGAGCCCAGTCAAACTGTTGGACAGGAACCCCCCCCTTCATAATCCTAGATCCGCCACTGATTGCGTATATACAGGTTGGGCTGCCAAACGATATATTGAGGGAGTTGTCTCGATGTGCAGAGGTCGAGATCTGGAGAGTTGTTCTGGGTGTCGTTGTGTTGTTTGGCTTTCCTTTGCTTTGACCTCATTGTTAACTTGTGTGGGCATTAATGGGTTCATGACTGCCAGAAATATCGACATCTGTGTGTGACAGTGCAAGAGACCTGGTCCCACCCATGTGGTTGATGAACACACTGCCATGTGTTGTCCATCCGCCAATACAAATGGCATACTGAACCACCAGAGCTTCACCAACAATACAGGGTCTAATTACTCTTGTATTCCTCTTCTCCCTTTATTTACTCACTTACTCACTCCATCTGCTACTGTCTCTGTTGGTCAAGTTTGTGTAATGGTCTGCCATTCCATCTCAATAGTTTATGTGACACCACCATTGGAACTCCTCTATTGCGCCTTTGGCCTCGTAGTTTCCGGACATAGTGAGGACAGCTTTGTTCTTCTGTGGTTCCAGGGAGGACTACTGTTGCGGTTGCTGTCATCTTTCCTATCAATTGAGCCTGATGGAGAATCCTCCTTGACTGCATGACTGCACAATACCCTTTACTTTCTTTTCTGGGTTGAGTCCACTTTGAGTTGGGACAAGCACACCTCTCCAAGTTAATCCTAAAGGCAGTAATTAGTAGCAGTATCAGAATTTGTGCTCTCCAGGGGACACTACAAAAGTTGACTGTCTTATACATGAAGAGTTTGCTTATAAAAAGTACAGTGCTGCCTTGAAACTGGGCATTTTAGTCAGGATGGCTATGAGCAGTCAGTGGAGTCATCATCTGTGTTGCATGGAGCAGTCCTAACCTAGTACCTAGCTTTATCCCAAGCACCGAATAGTCAGAGATGGCGCTTTTTACAATAACTGTCATAGTAAATGCTTGGGACTGCCCCAAGGTGGCTGCTAAGTTTTGAACTGCAACAGATGTAGTCAGCGTAGGACATGGTAACATGGTTCAGGTAGACTGGCGTAGCTACATAGCTAGTGCATTTCTCTGACGAACGACCAAGACTGGAGGCAATCCTGACAAGATAGGGATCCCAAGAGTGTCCAACTACCAGGTTGGACCTACTTTTATGCTCAACTTCTACAAACTCTTCAGTACAAAGCCAGTCCATAATCCACAGTCCAGCTTTTGTAGTGTCCCGTTCTCCAGTGTCTCATAATTATGAGTCAGTTGTGTTACTAGCAGGACATCAAGGAATGTGATACAGTCTCATCCACTTAGAAGAGGTACCAGCTGCTTCAGCAGTTTGGACTACACTCATGGAGTATATACTCCTAGCTGACACAGGCACTAGAATTCGTATTGTACAGTATGCCAACCTCAGACACCGCCTCTCCTCCTGGGCCACTGGGACTAATAGATACTGCATCGATGGAGACCATCTAGTTGGCATATCCTGGAAAACTTGCTAATTTGATCTTGAGATCTATGCAGGACTAAATGATCTTCTTTTCGTCCAGTATGATTGCACTCCCTACAAAACGATTGGCTTCTACACGGTTTTATTCCCCCATCTTTTTGAGGAGATCAGCCTGCAGACATGTCATATACCATGTCAGAAGCTGCTCCTGGATATTTTAAATGACCTCTATTCCCTTTTTCTTGAGCTGCTTTTTCACCTTGTAGTTAATCTACTGTAGTGGTGCAATGACCTTGCACTGCAGTCTAGGGAATTTATACTGGCCTCTCTCCTCCAGAGTTCAGTTGAAATGCAGGTTTCCACTAGCCGATAGAGAGTTCCATGCATCCTTTGGTTTATACTTGGATAGAGAGCCTTGGCCTCATCAAGTAGTTGGATTGAGTCTAGCACAAGATGGTTTTTTTTGAGGCAAATGCTTTAGCAGTACTGTGGTAATGGATGGAAAACAGTATACCGTTTGAGGGGAATTATAGTGTATCATTAATAGGCTGTTGGCGGAGGTGAACCATGCTGAAGAACTTAGAGAAACTATTGGCGAGCCTAGTTGTCTTCATCTGCACTGTTTCCATATTATGTAGCTATGTTGATGACAATGGTATTGTTGGAATAGAAATTTTGCATAGATGTGCCCATGTGACTCTCGCATTTGCTCGCCAAAATGCCTTGCACTTTTTTCTGAGTTTTTACTGGCCCTAGTGCTACTATCAAATACTGTGAGCAAGTTAGTTCTAGTTCTACTGCAGTTCTATTACCACGTTTAGCCAGCAGTCACCACCGCTATTGAACTGTCTAAAATCCATGAGTTACAAACTGAGAACATACTTTTTAAAATAGCTGTATGTTTTTTTAGTTAGGCGTAGAATTGAATGATTGCCGCTGAAGTGAAACAGACAGAGGGACACGCTAACGGATACACAAACATTGACACTACAGTAATTAATTCTCACATGCAGTGTGCACTAAAGGCTATGTGATCGGTACTCCTTTGAAAGCACCCATAGTGTCGAAGGGGATTGCTCAAAGACTTTCAATGAAAGCATAATGATTGGTAGTACAAGATGTCGGTGGCTGTTGTATAATTATACACAAAGCATGTTTACCCATATATACCTCTATAGCCATTATGTATGACCTATGGTATAATATTTTCACTGCAGTTGGTATTATCCACATATCACAAATGAGGAAGCAAGTGAACTGCTTTTGAAGCCTCTCAACGAGGAGGGAGTTTTTTTAGTTTGGGTAGATGAAGATACGGACGACAAGGTACTCTTTGTAAAGCACAAAAGCTCCTTTGTAGAGTACAAAATAATAGCAACATCAAAGGGAAGTTATTCAGTTGAAACCAAGGATGAAGATATTCTGTATCTGTCAATCTTTAACTCCATGGAGGAACTGCTTCTATTCTATTCTAGTAAGAAGGAAGATGTATTATGTACTAAGCTTGAGAAACCATGTGTCTATACCTCAGAGTGGGAGATAAAGGTAGATGAAATAGCATTAGTCACCTTGGTAAAGTCTAGCGGTCAAACTGAGGTGTGGAGAGGTTTTTGCGGGAAGCATCCAATCCAGTGTAAGAAATTAAAATCAGTTAATCAGCAAAAAGAGATTGAGGAGGTTGAAATTCTCAAACGGCTTGATCAGCAAAATATTGCTAAATTTCATGGAATAGTAGTTGAGAAAGTGTCGATATCAATAATTACGGAGGGTTTGGAGTGGAGTACACTCAAAGAGCATTATACCGAAAGAGCTATTACAAGTTTGCCAATCAACATGTGCATATCAGTATTCAGGCAAGTTTTAAATGGGCTTGCGCATTTGCAAGAAAGAAGAGTAGTTCACCTCAGCTTTGGTGCTAGAAATATCCTATTTTCCGAGATGCCTAGTTTGCATTGTAAAATTACTAATTTCAGTCAGGCCAAAAGAATAGATGTCAACGACAAAGTATCACAAATTGAGGAGGTGGAAATGAGATGGTTACCACCAGAAGCATTCGAAGGTAAGTACCTTCACAAAAATTGTGACGTATGGAGCTTTGGTGTTTTCATCAATGAACTTTTTACAGCATGTGACCTGCCGTACAGTGGTATGAGTAATAGTCAGGTGGCTGCTCGGGTCAAAGGAGGCTATCAAATTCCACGACCCAACAGCTGTCCGGAACAAATTTTTGCAGTTGCAAGAGAATGCATGAGTATCACTCCTGACAAGAGGCCAAGCTTTGAGAGCCTGCAGCCTAGAATGAGACAACTAACAGTCACACTCACAGTGGATGGGAGACCCATACCTGCCCCAAGGAGAAACCTGCAACAGAGTGGCAAACCAGTCCCAAAACCTAGGAAAAGGATACCAGTGCCGGCCAATCAAGAGAAAGTGCAAACCAATTACGAGAATAGAGAAATCTCTCCTAAAAGTACCTGCAGTAAGGATGAACCTGTAGCTCAAGGTAACAATGTTTCACTTCTCCCAGAAACACCCAAAATATCGTCACTGGTACCATTGATACCTACGAACTTACCATCTCCCCCAAGGAAGTCGCTCAACAGTGAATATCAGATCAAAAGGAAAGAACTGAAACTGGTTTCAAAGGTAAGAAAACATCTCGAAGATGAAGTATGGGAAGGTGTGTGGAAGGGAAACACGCCGGTTTTAGTTACAGTACAAACAGCAGAGGTGCCTGAGCAAATTGAAATCTTAAAGAAACTAAAAAATGAAAATGTAGTGAAACTTGTAGGACTTTGCATGCTGGAAGCACCAATTTACCTTCTTACTGAGATAATGAAACCCGCAAGTCTACTAACCTTTCTGAGGGGTAATAAAGGAGCCTTAGAAGATGAAATGCTTGTAAAATTGGCAGTTGATATTGCAAAGGGAATGGCGTATTTGCACTCACACTTTGTTATTCACCGAGATTTGCGAGCTGATACAATTCTTCTAGATGAAAACAATACTTGCAAGATTGCACACTTCAACTATGTAAAAAATGTGGACGAGGCCACTCACACATACACTGCAGTGGGAATTGAGAGGATCGCTGTAAAATGGGCAGCCCCTGAGGCAATAATGAACGGTGTTTTCAGTACAAGATCTGATGTCTGGTCTTTTGGCATAATACTCTACGAGATTGTAACCTACGGAGCTATGCCATACCCTGGTATGAATAATGCTGATACGGTAATGAATATTGCCGAAGGGTATCGAATGGAGCAACCTGACAGTACATACTGTCCAGATGAAGTGTACGAGATCATGTTGAAATGCTGGGACCAAAAACCAGACTCCAGGCCAAGCTCCATCATACTGCCACAAACACTACGTGACCTGACACAAAAACAAGATCTGGATGATTTCTTAGATGACGATTTTGAGGGCTACACATATGTTTTTGACGATATACAAGAAGTTGCAAAGGATTGGAGTATAGAACTCTCTGACCTTGCATTTCTAGTGCAGGAAGGTCCCATTTGGAAAGGTAAATTTAAAAATGACACGCTAGTTGCAATCAAGTGCATCGATGTACAATCAATGGATGGTGAAATCAAACAGAGGGTTGAAGTTATGAAAGAATTGAAGCACGACAACATTCTAGAGCTTTGTGGTGTGTGCACTACTGAAACAGCAGCATACATAGTTACTGAGTTTATGGAGCATGGAAATCTACACAACTATCTTCAGATGAACTCTAACACTTTAACAACTGCCGATCTGGTAAGCTTTTCTTGGCAGGTATCGAAAGGAATGGCATACTTGGAAGAAAAGGGGATAATTCATGGAAATTTGTCGGCTGTGAAAGTGTTAATTGGAGGAAAAGAACCAGAGGAAGTTATATGCAAAGTATCAGGGATGTTTGGGACAGAAGAAGATAAAACTAATACTGGATTCAAAGTTCGAATTCCTCCAAGATGGATGGCACCAGAAACAGCTGTTGAAAATGTTTATTTACTTGAGTCGGACGTTTGGGCTTTTGGGGTTGTTCTTTATGAAATCATGACTTGTGGTATAAAGCCTTTTTCTGATTTGAGAGATGATGAAGTACTGGACCAAGTGATAAGAGGCCACCGCATGCCGCGCCCAACAGACTGCAAGGATGACATATACAGCCTTATGCTGGAGTGCTGGAATGAAGATCCCAGTAGAAGACCTTCATTTGAAACTATTGCCTCAAAATTGAGTGACGTTGAAATGTACGAAGAACTCAATGTCGATGAGAAAAACAAAGTGAAAGTGTACTGCTGATTTACCTTTAGAAGACAATCAATCAACTGATGTGAAAATTAAAGTAGACTTGCAGCTCAAGGTAGCAGAGTCTGCTACTGGAGACATATGGAGAGGGACCTGGAAAGGAATTGATGTGGCAGTCAAGTACCCCAAATCAGAAACAGCTAAAGAAACGTTGCACAGTTTTGAATTGATGAAGTCACTTGCAAACCCCAACATTCTACGGGTGCTTGGTTTGTTCTCAAAGAATCAATCAGCCTATGTGGTCATGGATTTCATGTGCCGTGGAAATCTGCAGGATTACATAGCGTGGGAGGGCAGTTTTCTAGCACTGGAGAAGCAGATCGAGATTGCAATCCAGTGTGCAACGGGTATGTCTTACTTGGAGCGTCATAATATCGTACATGGAAACTTGAGTGGGCGTAATGTTTTGGTTGGAAACAATATGGAATGTAAAATCACTGGAATAAGAGGAAAAGGTATTGAAACTGAGGACCCATACTCGGGTCAAATGAAATTTTACAAGTGGATGGCTCTGGAGAGCTTGCTGCATAAAATATTCAGCACCAAATCAGACGGTTGGTCATATGGAATCCTCCTCTACGAGATCATGACTCATGGTGAAGAGCCCTATCGTCAGTGGAGTGGCAATGAAGCTAAAGTGAAAATTCAAGAAGGCTACCGAATGCCATGTCCCCCAGATTGCCCCGATGAAGTTTACACTATCATGATGGGCTGCTGGAATGAAAGTCCCTCTCAAAGACCGCCTTTCAACAAAATTGAGCGGAAATTGGAAGATGTCATTGCCTATGATTCAGTACCGGTGGAGGAAGACTGGCCATGGAACATCCGTCCCTGTGACCTCTCACGAAAATCCAAAGTGGCTGATTCAGAGAGTGGAGAGGTGTGGAGAGGTGTGTTTCGAGGCAGCAATGAAGTTGCTGTACTATGCCCAACGCAACACTCACTCAGTGCTGAAATTTCAGTCGCTGAACTAATGAAGTCCCTGAAACACCCTCACATCCTCAGCATATTCGGAATATGCTCAGTATCCAACGACACAGTGTGGATCTGTACGGAAATGATGATGAATGGAAACTTAAAGAATTACATTCAGAGAGAAAAGAAAACACTATCTGTACAACAACTGGTGCTCTTTTCCGCCCAATGTGCTAGTGGTATGCTTTACCTAGAAGAGAAAGGTATTGTCCACGGCAATCTAACAGCTAGACAAATCCTTGTCGGCGAAGACTTGACCTGTAAAATCACAGGCATAAGTGGAGGCGGTGTTGAACATGAGGATCCATATGAGGGTAATATCACAATAACCTTCCTCCTCCCCATCAAGTGGAGAGCACCAGAGACTATCAGGTACTCTGACTTGGCAGTTGCTTCAGATGTTTGGTCCTTTGGCATTGTTCTCTATGAAATAATGAGCTACGGCCGAGATCCCTACTCAGGCATGTCAAACCAAGCCGCATTGCAGGAAATTGATAAAGGTCACAACATGCAATGTCCCCCTAACTCTCCCCGGGAGATTGGGAACCTACTCATTGACTGCTGGGCCAAAAAGCCTGAGAATAGACCAAAGTTTGACAATATCACACTGAGACTCACAAATCTCTTCAAGTTTATGACAGAATGTGAGATAGACCAATCAGTCGCAGCCCAGAACACTGGGGAAATTAAACAAAGTGATTTGGTGTTTGAAGAAAAACTAGCATCTGGAAAATCAGGTGACATATGGAAAGGAGTTCTGAAGGAAACAAAACAAGTTGCCATTCAAGTTATCATTGAAAAGGACGAGGAATGGATACAAGCCATGCTTAAACTAAACAACCCAAACATTCTAGGTATTGAAGCAGTTTGCTACACACAACAAGAAGCATTGATTGTCACAGAACTAATGGAGAACGATAACCTAGTAAAGTTTTTGCGAGGTGGCGGCAGATCACTGAAAATGCAGCAGTTGATGCACATTGCAGTACAGGTAAGCCAGGGAATGGTTTACTTGAAGAATCAACAAGTTGTCCACAGAGATTTGTGTGCCCGAAATGTGCTGGTGGGAGACAAGATGTTGTGCAAGATAACAGGCATTCTCGGAGATTGGGCGGACGAGGTAGATGATCCCTACTATGAAGGGAGATTGTACACTCCTCCAGTCAAGTGGGCAGCACCTGAAGCTGCCCTCTATGGAAGATTCACATATCAGTCTGACATTTGGTCCTTTGGCATTGTCCTGTATGAGATAGTGACATATGGGAGGTTCCCTTATCCTGGCATGACAAGATACGAGGTAATTTCAAAGATCCAGGATGGCTACCGAATGCCATGTCCGAGTAATTGCCATGAATCTGTCTATAGAATAATGAGAAAGTGCTGGGAAGAGCAGCCTGAAGCTCGCTACACTACAGAGAACTTGAATGAAGTGTTACGAGAATTCCATCACAGTTTGTGTAATGAAAAGAATGAATGGGAGGTGGAAGAAAGTGAGGTGAAGGCTGAGGAAAATATCGGTCAAAGTGAACTCGGGGAAGAAGATGTGGAGGGGAAAGTTCCGCCAGAAGCCAGCCACAATAAAATACCACTCTGTGAAGTATTCACTCAAAGATTTTGTGCATGAGACTGAAGTGCTACAGACTCTGTCTCACCAGAATGTGATTCAGTTTCACGGGTTCTGTCCTAAGGGGAAAACAATCTTCATGGTCTTGGAGCTAGTCAAAAGTTGTAATCTCTTACAACACATCCGTACAAGTCAATTTTCCCTCAGCCACAGTCATGTTTTGCAAATGGCTTTCGAAATTGTTGGGGGTATGGCATACCTTCACAAACAAGGAATCATCCATCGAAACCTGTCAGCTTCAAATATTGTGATTGGAGAGAATAACAAGTGTAAGATTTCCAACTTCCAGCAGGCACTGATGCGAAAGCAAGGAGTGTCTATGTCGAGTAAGTGTACAACGGGCAAGGTTCGCTGGATGGCAGTGGAAGTGTTGTCAAACAACCAGTACAGTATGATGTCAGATGTCTGGTCATATGGCATACTTCTCTACGAGCTGGCAACCCAGGGTCAGACTCCCTACCCTGATTTGACCGATGGACTAGTGTCTCTTCAAGTTCCTAGTGGTCATCGCATGTCAGCTCCACCTGGTTGCCCGACAGGCCTCTACAGCATAATGGCAAACTGTTGGCTGGAGATCCCACGCCAGCGACCTTCATCCGATAAGGTACAAGGCAGCATCGAAAGGCTTCTAACCCAAAACAAAAAGTGGGAAACAAGTGAGGACCAGGTTGTACAAAAACAGAGTCTTGGGCAGGAGAAATATGTAGAATTCTGGAAATGTGAATGGAAGAAGTCAGAAGTGGTTGTAAAGTACCACAAACAGGGGACCTGCTCACGTGAAATATTTCTATGGGAGGCAGAAGTCATGAAGACACTCGAACATCCAAATATAGTTAAGCTTCTTGCTGTCTGCACACATATGCAAAGGTCATTCATTGTATTTGAGGCCATGGATGATACTTTATATGCAGGTTTACGCAGACAAATGCTCACAAAACTCTCTGATATCCTGTCCATGACAATGCAAGTGGCAAAAGGAATGTTATACCTCCAAGAACAGAGGGTTATCCATAGAAGTTTGATGGCACGAAATATCCTTGTGAAAGACAAAACAGTATGTAAGATATGCAATTTTAGTGAAGCTATAATAGATGGAAGAGAATTAACAAAAGCACAAAGAGCTACAAAGCTACCAATCCGCTGGATCCCACCTGAGTCTCCCACGTCAAATTACACACGCTTCAGCTTGAAAACAGATGTTTGGTCATTTGGAGTTCTGCTTCATGAAATATTCACAAGCGGAACGCTACCATACAACAACATAAAAGATAGCTCGACAGTTTTGAAAAAGTTGTGTACCGGTTACCGCATGCCTTGCCCAAAAGCCTGCCCTCAGAGTGTCTATGGAATAATGCTAGAGTGTTGGAATGAGGAGCCAGAAAAGCGGCCAATATTTCAGGGAATTCAAATGAAATTCGAAAAAATTCAGGATGACTTGAATTGGGAGATTGATCCAAGTGAGATGAGTTTAGTGAAACTAATTGATGATACTGGTCGATTTGCAGAAGTGTGGGAGGGAGAGTACAAGAAGATGCCTGTAGCGGTCAAATACCACAAGTCACTGACAAACACATCAGAAGAGTTCTTGTGGGTGGCAGAGCTACTAAAGACCCTAAAACACCCCTACGTTATAAAATTAATTGGTTTGAACTCCAGTGAAGAGAAAGCGTTCATGGTAATGACATATATGAAACATGGCACCTTAAACCTCTACCTAAAAACCTTTGGTCGCTCACAGACACTGAAAACACTGTTAAAAATGGGTACCCAGGTTGCAGATGGAATGGCCTATCTGCAAACTCAGAAAATCATCCATCGGGACCTGGCCGCGCGCAGTATCCTAGTGGGAGAGGATAGTGTGTGCATGATCTCTGACTTCAGTGAAGCTCTATGCACTGCCAGAAATGATAACCCAGAGCATCAAGGCCGAAAACTACCAGCAAAATGGCTCCCCCCAGAAGCTGTGGTCAACAATGTTTTTGACATGCACACAGATATTTGGTCCTACGGCATACTGCTGTATGAGATTGTGACATTTGGCGGTACTCCCTACAAAGGCATGACCCCAGCTGCAGCTCTCACAAAGGTTCGGGGAGGCTATCGAATGCCCATGCCTAGTGGTTGTCCAGGCGAGATCTACGGTGTAATGATGGACTGTTGGCGGGAGAACCCATCAACACGACCAACCTTTGAGACGGTTCACCTCCAAATGCAGAGGATCTCCAAGACATGCAAGAACAGTCCCCTTGCTCGCTCAAGAACATTGACCGCATACGATGTACCAACTGAACGAAGAAGGAGTTGGACAGAGAGTCATGATCCCTGGGAAATAGACAGATATTCGGTCACACTAGATGCGAAACACGAGGAAGGAAGATTTGGGGAAGTCTGGAAAGGCTATTTGAAAGGAACTGAATTAGTCGCCATAAAGATCCCAAAATTGGATCACACGACAGCATTAGAGTTCCTCCACGAATCGGAAATAATGAAACTAATCGAACACAGCAATGTGGTTTCCCTCAAAGGTGTGTGCACAAATGGGGAGCCAATTCTTATAATAACAGAGTTTATGGCAAATGGAAATCTTGTAAAGTATCTTCGGAGTCCTGCAGGGCGCCTGACAGCGCAATCACACATACTGAAATGGGCAACTCAGATCTGCAATGGGATGATGCACTTGGAGAAGTGCAGAATCATTCACCGTGATGTTGCTGCAAGAAATATACTGTTGGGGGAGCAACTAGTCTGCAAGATTTCCGACTTTGGACTGGCACAGAAGGTGAGTGGAGAGACATACAAGGAATCTTTGAGAACACAGTTTCCCCTAAAGTGGATGGCACCTGAATCTATAAGCCAGAGACTCTTTTCAGTCAAATCAGATGTGTGGTCATTTGGCATTCTCCTGTACGAAATGGTCACTCGTGGAGCTCTTCCCTATCCTGGAGTGCAGAACCGTGATGTTGCTGAGCTGGTGAAAGCAGGCTATCGCATGCCCTGTCCTCGAGGCTGTCCTAAAGGACTACACGAGATCATGGACAGTTGCTGGAAAGAAAGACCTGACGAAAGACCAAATTTTTCGTCAATTAACACTGCCCTCAATTCCCTTTTAAAACGTAAATAGTATAATTATTCAAAAGCTAAGTGTGCATCGTATGATATAATATGTGAAGCAAGCTCTAGCCATATTTAATGTTTACCTATGTAATTTGCAACATGTAAACTCATTTATGACCACAAGAAACTTGTTTATAATGATATAAGGCAATGTTTCGTAATAGCAGCTGCAAAGATAGATATATATAGGTCATTGTACACTATGATTGAGTAAGAGGGGAAACTGACAAGCACAGAGGGCACTTCAGTTGAAAAGTAAATTAATAATTTTCTAAAATCTCTCCCCCACCCTTCCTTATCACTGTTGCTAATACAGGGACAGAGTGGAATATGGGATTCCTCTGTGAACCAAATTATCACTAAGCACGGTAGTACTTAGTATAGGGATGACACTGGTTGTCCTGTATTATGCCCATACATTTGAGATTTGTACATTCACTTTCAGTTTCAATCAGATCCCATTTCTGATATCTCAGTCTGATCGGTATCGTCACAAAAAGCATGCTCCTAAGAAATGGCTTAAATCGCATAATATTTATTCAAGAATCTTGTTAACCCTCGGCGCGATTGCGAGCGAGGGTTACTGTAGTTGTCGTGTGTGTCTGTCTGTCCGCACCCACAATCCCATGAATCGCTCCACAAACAATACCACGTATCCAGTGTCGGTATAGGTCGAAGTAAAGTGGGGTTTTCTCTGAAACTGCTGCGTCCGGGAGTTATGGCGTAAAAACCAAGTGAACGAGCCAAGAATATGCAAAAACTTTTTTAAAACGTGGCCACACCCATTTTGACTAACCAATCAATGCACAAAATGAAAAAAAGAAGCAAAACAAACAAAATGCAAAAACCAAAAAAATCAAAACAAAGAACACAAATAAAAAATAAATAAATACACAACAGCAACAACAACAAAATATATATATCTACCATCGTGAGACGGAGGGTGGCGAGCCCACATAGTAGACAAACAGATGGACAAGCGCTGGAATAAATATGAAACTGCTTCCGCGGGGGAGGTACCAAGCCTCTGACCCACTAGTCTGCCGATTGTGGAGATTTGTAGGGCTGCATCATGGCTCCAACCTCCCAACGATTCCACAGCAAGGGGAACAAACGACACTCCTGCGCCTCTGCATTCGGCATTGTGAGCTACCATCTTTCTTTCCTCGGCCACTTTCAGAGCATACCCCTTCTTCAAATTGGCACGGGCTTACCCGCCGCAATGCTCTTGCTATTACGGTGGCCGATAGGTGCCACGCCGATATTCATTCCATTTTCCAATTTCCAGCGATGCGTTCCAAATGCTGTTCTTGATTTCCGGTTTTCTAACCTGCGAGCTGGCAGCTAGGAGTAAGGGAGTGGCTAGCGTCTCGAAATCTGGTGCATACCAAGGCAGGCGGGAGTTAGCATACTACTATATACCCTTACCCTAAACCCTGTGCGCTCGTGCGGGCTTTACCAGTCATGACGTATGCCGCAACAGCAGCGCCGCGCCGCAGTCGCGGGCGCGGTTACGCCCCCTTAGCAGTGAATCTGTACGATCAATTTGGAATGGAAAACAGAAGTGTGAATGGAAAACGGAATGAATATCGGCCTATCGGCCACCGTATGCTATTATATCGCATCTGCGCGACAGAATAAAAGTGCAAACCCTTCGCATGCGCGATACTGCTAATTGATGGAGTGGGCTATTTTTATGCGTTTACTCGTGGTGTCGCTCGCGGAGAGTCTGACACGGGCTAGCTACAGTAGTAGATAGCATGCGAGAGTGACATACGCCCTTCTTTGTGACTTCTTGTGCCTTGAAGACACACAGATATATAAGCCTGTGCTAATTTGCATATTGGCTTGTTCACTTGCCTTTCAGGCCATAACTTTTGAACGCTAAAGTTATATCAAAATCGCCTTTTTTTAAATGAGGCCAGTGTAGCGATGAACCTGTTGGTGTCGCTATTTCGTTGTCTCGTTGCGCGTAGTCGCAGAAAACGTGGTAACAGATGAACGGACGGACCCAAGTACAGTTATCCCTCGCTGCGCATGCGCGCGCCGAGGGTTAATATATAACTCTATCTAACAGTTTAGGTCAAAATTGATTGGAACAAGGGTGAATGCGCGTGCGCGCCGTTGGACGTATGGGGGCGATCGATTGCTACAGCTATATATAGCTATGCGTACCCAGTTTCTTTTCCCAAAGAGAAAATATATTATAATCAGTTTCCCGCCTTTATAACTATATAGCTACAGATGAAGGTATTAATTTGGACTACGTTGCAGCTATTGCTCCAGCAGTATGTTACTGGATCTCCAGTATCATTGTCCGGTGAAGAGACCTTCGTTGAAGTTCCTCCGTTCCGTGGCCCGACTTTTTTGAAAGAAGCACAGCAACTATTAAAGGTTTGTGCAAAGCTGTTTGGTGATGGTTCCCCGAGTTTTCATGTACAAATATATAGCTGCCAAAAAGCTTGTCAGTTTTTATGGTGGTGTTTTTGGTGTTTTTCGTGCTTGTCCTTGTTGACAGTTACTCCTAATGGATAATGCTAGGTAACGTTATGTTGTTGATACAACACCATGTTTTTGGAGTAAGGAGAGAACCTTGCACCAAATGGGCAGGATATAATGCTTATGCCCACGCGTTACATCATCTTCCCACACAGTATGTTTGCCCAGGCAGTAGAACCTGGATGAAGAAAGCTCAAACATTAATAAATAAAGAACACACTTTAAAGTGCACACCCTCGGTGAAAACATGCACTCTCGCTAGAGAATGGTTTCATGTAAGCAAATTTGAGGAAGTGGGCCTACCCAATTTGTATTATTTCAGGTTATGCGATGACTAAGCCAATAAAAAAAATGTCATCGCATAACCTGAAATACTATATACAAATTGTGTAGCCCCACTTCCTCATATTTTTTTAAAATCTCGCGCATGTGATAAACTCCACCAACACTGCGGACATGACGAAACACCTTTTTGGTCGTCTTGCTATAGCCTTTTGTAGTCCAACTTCAAACAACCCGGTGCTAGGAATATACGCTGTATTCTGAGCTGTGGGCTGAGGGCTGCACCAATATCAGTATTGGACTGGAAGTCCTTATCACAACATCTAGCGCTAGGCGTAGTCCAAATTGTCTGCCTTCCAAAGTTTACACAACAATCATTAGTAAATTCGATGACGCAGCAGAAATTCAGCATTGTGATTGGCTAGTTGGTCTACAAATAGGCGTCTCGGCGCATACAGGATATCTTCCTCGGCTGCTATACCGGCCTCGGGCTACGCCCTCGTCCGGTATAGTCAATAGCCTCGGAGTATATCGTGTACACCGCCTCGCCGCCTACATCCTACCCTCCCTCCTTCCATTGATGGATTAGTCTGACCTTCTTTTGTTTTGTGTTGTTTTGTTCAAAAAAACAACAACAAAAATACGATACGTGCGCTCGAAGTAACGTGCTAATTGATGGGCTGGGCATCGATTCGTGATCTCATACCAGGTAGGTCGCTGAGAGTCGGTTAACGGGCTAGATACACTACTAATAACATGCGAGAGTCGATAGACGCCCCGCATTGCAACCTCTGGTGCCTCAAGAGCAAGCGCATCTGCCTGGTCGACCGTGCGAGCCCGTGCTAGCTATACTCGTTGACTTGGTTTTCACGCCGTAAACCTCTCGAACGCAGCCGTAAAACCCCACATATTTTCGGCCTATACCCGACGCTGAATGCGTGGTATTGTGTGTGGAGCGATTCATGGCTCGTGAGATGTCGAGTAACAGACAGACATACAGGCACACTACACCCTCGCTGCGCATTCGCACCGAGGGTTAACTAGCTAGGTTTCAAGAGTTAATTAAAGGCCATGCTGACTTGGGGAAAATGCATGAACGGCAACGATCAATTAACTAGCTACAGCGCAAAACTTTGTATCCAGTACATGGACCCGTGAGACATAATGCCTGCTCCCAGGGTGCCAATTAGCTATATTATTCGGTTCCACTGTATATAGCTATGTCCAACTAGCTAATTATCATTTTAGAGTGCTTTATTGACTAATGGAGGAACAAGTGTATGCAGTCATCTGCAGAGAGTTTTGAACTCTAGTGGGAAACTGAAGTTGGTAGAGTATGGATCACAACCTCCAGATCACAGCTTGCTGGATGATACAAACCTCTTATGGAGTGGATCAGCCACTCTTCAAAAAGGTTTGAAAATTAACAACAGCTTAATGACACCTTGAGCTTTGTCACTTTCTTCAGCTACTGTGTATTTGACACTTCAAGCTGAAGATGAAGGTAACATCTTTATGGTAGCTACATTAGTTTTCACTGCATGGCATTTTTGCATTGTTGCTTTAAAAATGTGCAACCTTGCTGCATGATTTGGGTAACCAGCACTACTGAACTTTATGACAGTCTGTCATAAACTTCAGCTAAAACCATTACCGCAATTACCCCTCGCTGTGCTGCGTATGCACACCGAGGGTTAATGAATACTATGACCAATTTATGAGTTACTGTGAGTAGTTAGAGCATGAGAATAGGGCTGAAACAGAGAGTTGCCTTTCACAGTGAACAGCAATTATGTCTACATGCACGAACTTCACATGGCACACTAGCTCTAGCTATCAATACCTTCATATTTAGCTAGCTTACATTTGCTCACTAAGATATAATTGTGCCAACAGTAAGCTAGTTTCTGAGTTCCACTCCCTCTTAATCACGGTTAGCTACAGCTAGCTAATTAGAGCGAGAGGATAACGCACACGAAAGTTCCTCTGCCACCAAAATACTGTGAATAATATTTTCTGTATTACAATAAATGGCTATGGGCACATAATTATGTTGATATAACTTTAGTTTATCAAAGGTTGTTGATTATAAGATGTGTGTATAATGTTACATTCTTTGTATATTATTATTATTATTCATATTATGCCATCGGCAGGGGATAGCATCAGGGCAACTCTACATATTTTCATGACCAATCAGTGGTCAATGAATGCATAGAGAGTTCATCTCATATAAAACATGGATGGTTTTTATGAATTTTGTCTCAGTGTAGACATCTTCTTGTTTCCCTTTATTGCATAGAAATATGCATGTTTTAGTGTAGATGTTAGAGTGCATAAAATTAAATTATGGACACTTTATGACACTAGAGACACTGGTAATGTCACCTTTTACGCCAGGGTAAGGTGGTTGGTAACAATTTGTATGAACGAGAATAATGTTGACATGGCATGCGTATAAGTTAAACCATCATATTATATGGGGATTACTAGAGATTGTGCCGTATGTGAAGCACCATGGACATTAAGGCCTTTCTACGTACCTGTTAGAAATATTCTTTTGACCATGTAGGTCCAGTTCTCTTCGTGTCACCAGCGGCACAGAATTCACCAACACTCGGAAGTATCTTTAATAGAACATCTAATGGCATGTTTCTACTAAACATGACTTACAACTGTGCAAGTAACAAACTATCTATCCATATTGATGTCAGTTCGCCAACAGCAGTTATTAAGAATGTCCTAAGTTTCAACAGATTCACATTTTCCCTCTCAATGGTTGTTGACTCAAGAGACGCATTTGAGACTGCTGTGTTTAGTGGGTCAACTAGCTTTCTTGATATTCCAGCCTTTGTTGCTGTCAGGTTCAAATATGCCACTAGAGCTGTAGATATAAGAGGCGTTCCCACTGAAAGGAGTATAACCCTTGAAAAGGCATTAGAAGCGATATCAGTTGATGGACTAAAGATGCCTACAAATAATATCCGGGAGCTTTCGAATGTTGCACTTTTTGGTAAAATAGAGAAAGGTGTGACTACTTTTGCTATGGAAGGCAGGAGTAATGGCCGTACGGTTGTGCTGCTTCATGAACTATCAAACAACAGCAGCAATGCTGCTCTAATAGCTTGCATTAGCAGTATTGGTTTACAAGAACTCATCACGGCAGTATCAGATACCGATATATCCAGGACACCCATCTATTCTGACTTAGCGGTCTCAAACCTGCGCTTCTCTTCAGCCACAGGTGAAATCACAACACCTCTGTTGTCCCAGATCTTTCCAACAAATTCTCCATTGGCAGTGTTTGGTAGCAGGGTTCATAGTGGAATCAGAGCCTATCTCACTGCCCAAATAGCTGGAGTTAGCATGACTGGGATATTGAGCCATAAGAAACTGGTTTTTGAAGTTCCCAGCGGTACACAAATCCAACTGAGTAAACTACTAAGTAGTTATCCTCCTCTCAGTGGTTTGGGGTCATTTCCTCTGGTGGGAAGGAGTATAATTGGCTCTAGAGTATCAAGGGTTTCGTATGATCCTGACAGTAAGCTTTTTGTACTAAGTTCACACTTGCCCGAACTCCTCCTCATTCCAGAAGTGATGCTTCTCTCGAATGTTGCCTTAGATATCAATGCTACACTTCAGCAGACACTGTCAGTTACACAATTAAACCTAACAAGCAGTTGGCTCTTTGGGTCACTCAATGTAACCACACAATTGTCATACAACAGTACTGAGCGGATGTATCATGTGAGGGGGTTCAATTCTAAAACAACTCAAACTCTACAAATCAATGACCTATTTAGGAATATACTTGGATCAGATCTTCCCAGTGCCCTGAAGTCCCTTACTCTGACCACAGCAGTGGGGAGCATATACAGCAATGGTAACTACATCATAATATTCAGCGGCAGTCTTACCGAGGGGAAGGTTTGTCTAGTTTTTCTCAAAGACAGCACTGGAACAAAGCTTGGTCTTGTGGCTAGTGTCAAAGGAATGAGGCTGTCGGATTTGGTCCACTCTGCAAATGGAGTAGATATAAGTGCAACACCGTACTTTGGGGACCTAAATATTTCCATGGCGGTATCAATAGCATCTGCTCCCATTGAGAAAAGCAGGCTAATTAACATACTACCCAAAGAGATTAACAAAGTCTTCCCTACTGATGGTGATATGTTTCCAGTTGGAGTTGTTTCCCATTTTAGAATTAATGTGTCTGGCACCATTGGCACAGACTGCACATTGAGCAATGGTATAGTGAAATGTACCTCTCTAAAGTCAGCTAACTTCACAGTCAAACACCTGGCAAGAGAGATACCTGGTTTGAGGAAGGCGATAGATGAGCTTCCTTCAGAGATATCAGGTATTATTAATGCCAAGGTAAACACATTTTCTTTCAATTCAACCACTAATGAATTCATTATTGGAATGGAAATGAATAAATTGGTATTTGTCAAGGAATTTCTGTCACTCTCTGGAGTAAGGATAAGGTATGAAGGAAGATTGGGCTCAGTCATTAGTACAACCTCTATTGAAATTGAAGGCACATGGCACATCTCAGAGTACTCGGTCATCACCAGCATTTCATATGATGCCTTAAACAAGGAATTTTCTATCAGCAGCAGCACAACGAGTGATGTCTCCATTAGTGACATAGTGCTTAGATTTACTGGAAAATCTCTTTCACTCCCTTCATCAGTTTCGTCATTCAGCCTCAGAGGAGTCTCTGGGAAGGTTGTTAATGACAACATCATTGTTGCTTTAAACGGTGTAATTAAAGGAGGAAAGGTTGTTTGTGTGTTTCAGAATTCTTCCAATGAATCTAGTGGAGCTGTGGTAGTTGATATCTCACAGTTTAGACTGGCAGACTTGGTACAGTTGGCTTCAGGAATAGATATATCAAAAATCCAATACTTTGGATCCTTAGTGATCCCTCGAATGAGGTTTACTGTGGCAACTAGTGACATCAGAGGCCACATGCTGCAAGAATTAGCCCCGAATGGGTCCCCACTAGAAATGTTTAAAAGTGGCATCAGTAAGGGAGTTTCAGGGAGATCTTTGTTTCAGATGGAACAAGCTGGCCTAGTGGCACTGAAGTATGAAAACAAACTACTAACATTTAGAGCTTCAAATGCTTCATCGCTTTCTCTTAGTACATTACTTTCAGCAATGCCAGGAATTGAAGACATGATTCGTAATCTTCCATCGAAACTCTTAGATATTCTCGAAACACAAGTGCAAGGCTTTTCGTTTGATCCGGTCTCAAATGAGCTGGTGTTAAATGGAACCATGATTGATTCACTGGATATTGTTGACAACTTGATTTCCTTGACCGAAGTCAAGGTGTCGGTTGTTGTTATTCTTGGTCAGAAGAAGCAACTGGAAAATGTAGTTTTGAGGGGAAATGTGATATTTGGGAAGATGCCACTGCACATTAGCATTGCTTATGATGGAAGACATGAAACTCTACAATTAACAGGAGAGATTAAGGAACAAGTAGAACTTAATGACCTTCTGTCTTCTCTGTCAGAGCAACCTTTAAGTATTCCACCACTACTTTCTTCAGTGAGTCTATCAAAGCTTAATGGTACTGTTAGTGATGGTGTCACGCTTATAATTGTATCTGGTACAGTTAGTGAGGGTCAGATCCACTTTGTCTATCGTAAATCTGAATCGGGCAATGCAGTTGCTATTGCTGCTGTGAAAGATAGTCTTCGATTTTCCTCCCTAGTATCCAGTGCTTTGGGAATAGATATATCCAACATTCCCTACTTTGGTACATTAGTTATCCCTGACATTGGTCTGACCATCTCATCTGATGACATCACCAGTCCTCTATTGTCAACACTGTACCAACCATCATCTGTTCTGGCTAATTTTGGTGACTCCCTAGATAGAGGATTGAGGGCATCATTTCAACTAACTATTGGTGAAGTGAGAGGTATTACAGCCAATTTCGTTGAAGATAAACTAGAGCTCGAGGTACCAGACAACAGTCAGCTTCCTCTGAGCAAACTTTTACAACTCCTTCCCAATTTAAAACTGGCTATCAAAGCTCTCCCTCGTGCATTTCAAAGTTTACTCACTGCACTAGTGGAAAATATGGAGTATTGGCCCAAAACGAATGAGATAGAGATGGAGGGGCAGATTAAGTCTATTGTCATCATACCTAACTTCTTGGTTGTGCAAAACTGTAATTACTCCCTTTTAGGAACAATTGGTGGAAATTCAGTTTTTAAATATGCTACATTTTACGGGTCGTGGGCTTTTGACCAACTTTCTCTAAGCATAGAAGCAATTTACGACGAAGGCTTGTTTATAATTGACGCTTGTCCTGAAGGAAATGCAAGTCTAAACCTGCAGAACCTAATCAGAAAATTCACAGATACACCCTTTAACACACCACCTGCCCTAAACGTGTTGGAGATTAAACAAGTTCTTGGAAAAACCGAAAAAGGAATTGAGTCACTTGTTTTCACTGGAAAAGTTGGAGGAGCAGCTAATGTCAGTGTAGTGTATGAGAAATCGCCGAACGGTAGTGTGGTGGTGTTTGCAGCTGATGTGACACAGTTCCGACTATCAGACATTATTCTGGCTGGGGCTGGAGTTGACATTTCAAAAGTACCATTCTTTGGCTCTCTCGTGATCCCAGCAACTAGTTTTGCCATCTCATCAGACAATTTCTCAACACTCAATCTTCCAGACTTGGATATTCCTGGGATTGCCACTGAACTGTTTCTGGAGACTATTCCAAAAGGCCTTAAAAGTCAATTCAGGGTAAAGATAGGTAAAGCTGCAGGTCTAATTGGAGAATATGCTGGGAATGTACTTACAATTAGTTCATCATCTTCTGTTACTTTGTCTCTACTTGACCTCATCTCAGCTATTCCAGAATTGGGAGCCACCACCGACTCTCTTCCTAAATTTCTGCAAGTTCTTAAACATGCAAATGTGTCAGCTGTTACCTACAAACCCAGCTCAGGAAAGCTCTTGGTCTCACTCGGCATTAATTCCCTGACAATTTTGCCAGACTTACTCAACCTTGATCAAGTCAGAGTGACTGTTGATATGGATATTACAGGCTCTCGTGTTTCATCAGAGGAAAGCTTTGGAACAAGGGACCAACAATCGGATCATTCTGATCATGATGTTTTTGTGTACCAACAAAATGCTGTGGTACAAGTTATAAAACTTAATGAACTTACTATGGAAGGAAAATGGAATCTTCTCAATAACTATATTGCCATGTTTGTGAGGTATGATGGAAAAACAGGAAAGTTCAATATTCAAGGGAGCCCACCAATCAACGCAAAGTCATTGAGCATTAATAACCTCATCAGCAAATTTTCGACCGCGGAAATTAACCTTCCTCAAATTTCTTCACTGAAACTTGAAAATATCAGAGCTGTCTCATCATCTTCGGATGTTTCTACTACTTTAATCATTACTGCTACAGCAGGGGCATCAAATAGAATACATATCATATATCAGAGAACAGGAAAAGGCCCTGGAATCGCTGTAGCAGCCGAGCTACAATTTTCCCTTGTCGCAACTTGTAAAAACAGTAACCAACATTGACTTGAATTCGTCCCTTTCATCAGTTCATTTGGAGATATATCAATGGCATTCACTTCATCCAACAGCCCAATTATAACTCAACTGCTACAGAATGTGATTGAGTCAGACTCTCCACTGAAGGCTTATGTTAGAGGCATTCCAGAAGGTGTCACAGCCTATATGAATGTACTCATTGGAGGCTGTGTGGAGGTCCAAGTAACATACGAAAATAATGTATTGAAATTTGCAATTCCCCAGAAATGTAAGTTGACGCTCAGAAATTTACTCTCTGAGATTCCAGTGATAAAGTCTATTGCAAATGTACTTCCACCACCAGTTAGTGATCTGCTTGCAGGTGATGTAAAATCAATTCTGTTTGACCCGCCAACGAAAGCTCTTTCCCTTAAAGCCCAATTTCAAGAGTTGAACTTTTTCAATTTGTTGGTCTTGCGAAATCTCAAAGTCTCGCTTACTGCCACCTTGGCTAGAAATGGTCGGGTTAATTCAATATCATTCAGTGGTGACCTTGTTTTGTGCGATGTAACTGTCATGACTAGCATATCTTATAATCAGGGAACACAAGATCTGTTTTTTGATGCTTCTCCTAATCCAGGCCTGAGTATTACAAGCATTATTGGTTGCCTCTTCAAGCAAAATTTCAACATTCCTTCATTTCTCAATGGTGCAAAGATCACCAATATACTAGGCCAGAAAGTAGCAGACACTTTCACGTTTGTAATGAGTGGAAGCATTGGAAGCAAGTTTAAAGTATTTCTGGTGTACAAGAGAAGTGTGGGAGAGAGTGCGCAATTTGCAGTTGCAGCTTCTGTTGAGTCATTCAAACTTGCTGATCTTCTTAATGAAGCTGCAGGCATAGATATTAGCAGCATTCCGTTTCTCGGATCCATTAGAGTCCCACGACTTGGTCTCTCAATTGCACCTAGTGGAGATATAGCTACACCTCTACTGAACAGAGTAGTACCGGCCTCTTCCCCACTAAAAAAGTATGCCAACTACTTGCCAAGTGGCTTCACTGCTATGATAGACTTGTGGGTGGGAGGAAGTAGGCTTACTGGGAACTATGTAAACAGAGTTTTGTCCTTTAGTCCATTTGCTGGAGAACTTTCACTAGGCTCGCTGCTCAAGCAGATACCTGGTATTAACATAATTTCAACTGGAATCACAGCAGTCTTCAAAGATATTTTAAACCTGAAACTCAAACGCTTTGTGTTCGACATCCAACGGAAAGAAATGGAAATAACAGTATACCTTAACAGGTTCTCTGTTTTTGGTAAGGGTTTGTCCCTACAAGATGTCAACATTATGATAAATGCAACGTTTTCGGGGCCCACAACACTCTCAGTCAGGGCTAGTGGTGTCCTCACCCTTGGCAAGAAGAACTATGCTATCAGTATCGACCGCAGTACTTCCACACAAAATTATGTATTATCGATACACACCGAGAAATTCCCTGTAATTGGTCTGCTCACAGCGGCTGGAGGTGCATTCCTCCCCGAAGACCTGCAGACTCTTTTGGGAAAGATTTTTGATATAAACATCTTGAATGCCACTCTGAGATATCCATTTGGAGCAATGCCGAACCATATGCTTATCTCAGGAATGCCTCAGTTGTTTGGTTTAAAGACGGTTCACGTTGCGGCACTTCTGGTTGAGCAAGGAGGTCAGACCAAACTGATTCAGAAGTACACTCTCCCAGGATTTAGCATCACAGATTTGCTCAATAAACTATTTGGAAAGTCTATACCATCAAAGCTCTTGCAGAGAAAATCCGACACCAGCTTAATTGTCTCTCCTATTACTCTGCAAAACATGCCTTTATCAGTTCCAGAGTTTAGGGACATTGAAATTAGTGAAGGAATGTCGATATCCACTACATTCAGCTGGCCATCTAGCTGTGGTGGTGATGCCTTTTGCAGGGTCATGAAGACCCTCCTTGGAAAAGAGTCGAAACTTAGACTTGAGGGAGCATTTAGAAATGCTCGCTATTATTCTCTCACAGTAGCAGTACATGATGTTACGCTTGGAGGTGGGGTAGTGCTACAGAGAGCAGGCTTGCAGTTTGTTGGTGGAGCTGAACAGTCTATTGGTCTTGTTGGTAGCATCCAACTCAAATCACCCCCATTTACTCTAAATGCTGCTATTAGGCTGACACCTGGCGGTGTGAAACTTGAAGTCTCAATGACTAGCTGTTGGAAAGGAGCTTTCAAGATTCCTGTTTTAACTGTATGCAACCTTCTGATGTCGATACCTATTGCTCCAGTTGCCCCACTAATAACAGGTCTTGAGTTTGGCGCCCGGATTGAAATAGGAAATCGCAAGTGTGGCATCAATAAGCTCCTTACTGCTGAAGCATATGTGGGGATAAATACGCTCGATATACAGCAAAACTATTTTTATGCTGATATAGGCCAGCTGACATTTCAGAGATTTTTCGATGCATTTTGCATACCAGTTACTCTTCCTAGGCCACTTGGAGACAGTAGGTTTCCAAAAGGGTTGAAAACATCATTCTCTCTCCTCGGCAAACAGCTCCCTCATGCAGGAATTACAATACCAATTGGACTCAGATTCAAAGGAACTTACAGAATACTTGGCCTTTTCGGCATCAGTAGATATCAATATCCAACCAAGTAGGCTGAAAGTAACAGTTGAATTGCCCCCACTAAATCTTTTGGGGGTTTTGAAGATGTATAGGTCACGTACGGAAAAATCAAAAGGCCCATTATTTCATGTTGACATCAGTGCCACTAAAATGCCAGAGATTGAAATCAGTGGCTTTGTTGAGGTGTTGGGGGTGTCGGTTGAAGGAAGGCTCCTTATAACAAACACCAAGTTTGAGGTCTTTGTTGAAGGCCGAATTTTTGGCCTATTTATTGCAAGTCTTCGTATCAGCACAGGATACTCAAAGAATGTTAACAGTGCACCGTTCGAAGTTGAAGGAAGATTTAAAAATGACTTGTTTGACAGAATTGCAAAAGGAGTGAGGGATGGACTGCAGAAATCAGCTGATGAAGCAGACCGGCACATCTCAGCAGCTCAAAACAAGATAAGACAGGTAAAAGGGAAGTTTGATAGTGCCATCAATTCATTGGAAAGGGCAAAGAGAAAGGTTGATGATGCCAAGAAGGTGTTCGATGTTGCAATAGGCAAAATGGAAGGTGCTAGAAGAAAACTTGATGGTATCTGCCGTATTAAATCATGTGGATCAGGTTAGATTCCTTGTGCATGTCTTAAAGCTATTCATGTGCAACTTATTTCCTCATTTACAGCGTGTGTGGGGTGTCCAAGTGGTTCTAGATGCTGTGCAAAAGCATGGCGTAAGTGTGTTTGCTGGTTTCCAGGATGGAACAAGCTGCTGTTTCAGAGTCAAACAAATCCAGCCTGCCTTGCTGCCAATGCTGCTTGTTGGCTCTAAAGAAGCCACTCGACCTCATTCTGCAAGCTGCAATAGTTGTAATTGACAAGAGCCGTCATGTTGTTGACATTGCTAAAGTCGCTCTAAACTGGTACAGGGTGTGTTGCACACTGCAAATAGCCCTTGATGTAGCAATTGGCGTTCTAGAAGGGAATCAAATCACCTACAGGTAGGAGTCAAAGCAATTTCTGCATTGGTGCGACTTTGCCCTCACAAAACTACTCAATATACGGGAAATGCATTTCAGAGTTGCTCTCGGTACAGCCAAAGGTGGTGAGTTGACTGTGGAGTCAGCGGAGTTTTTGCTGGGAGTAAAACTTTAATTTGAGGGTCAGGTTAACATTTTAGATATCTGGTCTATCATCAAGTTTTTCGCTGAGAAAGCCGTTTCTGGTCTCTCCAAGTTCATTGGCTGATTTTTCATGGAAAGACAGATGTAGATAGATAGCTAGCTAAAACTTAGTAGCCATAGATGTAGATGTAGCTAGAAGGTAGCAAACGGTTCATGACAGACTATGAGCTTGCAAATTGCATTTACTCCACTGTACTCATTAATTTGGTCACAGCAAGGGAAGTTTAACGCATGAAACCTTTGGCACTTCTATTTGCACTAAGTTGTACACATGTTATCTGCATTCCTGACTATACTTATACAACTCCCTCTTACCAGTGAAATATCACTGGTGAGTGAAAATTAGACCACAGTTGTCATTGCGTGGTGCTGTCACCATACCATAGTTCTAAATTCTGTATAACACCATAAACAATTGCACACGTGTGTTCACATACGTTTTAACTGGCACTGTCAATATTCATAGCAGCCTATAATGCAAATTCTATGACATTCACCAACGAACGAATCTAACACACCATGCAGAAACTGTTAGTTTTTGAAGACGTTTACGTATTGGTTCCTTTCCTCTTCTGGGTGCTAGCTGTGTTTGTGCCACTGGTTCATATTCTCCTCCTCTCACTGGCACTACATTGTCATAGTTTTCTTCATACGCACATCCATCACAGTCTTTCTTTGAACTGACATCGTTTTTCCCGAGTTCAGTAGTGTCGTCAAAGGAGTGAGCATTGTAGGCTACATTTTGTTCAGTTGCACTGCACAGAGTTGGTTGAGCAGCATATGCATACATGTTGTCTTTCTGAATGTAATCATGTTCTGTCTCCATGTTATCTTCGGTACCTTCTGGCAGCGCTCTTGTTTTTTTGGTCAGGTGACTTTTCCTCCAACAAACACATACAGTGATAAGTACTATGATGGCAATTGCAAGGACAAGGACACTGGCGGCTGAACCAGCAATGAGAGATGTTCCGTAGTTACTAGCCATAGACTGTTTGCTCTCTGGTGTGGAGGATGGTGTGAGGCTGTGAATGATGATTTCTTCTGTTGCTTGTTTTGTACGAGGTGATATTGAAGGAGAAGTAAGCCTCACCGGAGCTAATGTAATATCAAAAACAAATATAACTAGAATTCTACGGCATTGCAATAATCATGCAGCAGGCCTCTGCCCAACTTCTACGTGATGGTGCATGTGATGAGTACAGCCTAAGCATCTCCAGCCAAACATCAAAAGAGCATGATTACCAAAGATAGGTGTTTTGCAGTCATGGTTTACCAGCTAAACACCGGTTTCCTCAAATTTAACCAAACTGCAAAATAATAATGGCAAATGAAGTAAGCCTCAATGTGGATCTTCTTCTATAATGTCGCACACACATCTAAAACTCCAAACACCCACGCGAAAAATTGAACTACCTGTGTTAGCTAGTGATACCGTGTTGACTTACAGGCTTCAATAGTGATCAGTGGACTGCCGTATCCCCTTACGCTATCAAGTATGTCAAAATACTCATCTTGGGTTTCTCTGCTCCAATAAAATAGTATGTCATTATTCTTCTCATACAAAGGCCTAAACGAGTAACTAATAAAGAGACCCACAATGTCTCTTGGCTCAGCAACCACAGTAGTAGTCGGAGTAAACTCGTAAATATCTTCCCTTTTCGTCCTTGATAACACAGACATCACTGTCACAGTGTTGTTGACTTTCTTGTAGAGAGTACTACTCAAATTTCCCAACTTTCTCCACAGGTGTAGTCCAATATACCCATCATCTGGATCATCTCTATGATAATATTGTGCTGCAACTGTCCATTTTGAAATATTTACTCTGCATGTGAAGTTTAGACTCGGAAAGAGAACACTAGATCGACGTCTGAAAATATCATCTGAATAACCCCTGCCAGTACTAGACAACAAAGAACGCACTCTCTTTACTGACATGAACCCACATCCACAGTCTGATGGAACTGTGTAGAGACAGTATATATATTAAAAGTGGTTTCTCCCATGAATGTTTGTTACTTACCTGTGGTCACTGCAATGACTGGGTAGCTAGTACCAGTGAGGGCACTGGCCAGGGAGAAATTGCTCCCAACAGGTGATGGAAACAAACAGTCTACACACACACTTTGTTGGTAGGTAGTAATTCTGTTGGAGTTCTCCAGGTACAATTGAAGCTCAGTGCGATTTAATATAGGCTGGAAGTAACCAAAGATGTCTCCTTCCTGGAATGCTAGTGGGATGTCCAGTTGGTACTCATACACACCACTGCTGTTACTACTACCACATTGATGCGGTCCACTATCTTTATGTACGTTGAGCCAGTGGAGGACACCTTCCTCCAGATCTGGAACTCCACGAAGGCTGGGAGAGCCCCCTCCACATAGCACGAATATCCACCTGGTGATTGTTCCACTGCAGGTGAAGTTCCATGTCAGGGACCAATACCTGTCTGGAGATACTGTGCTCAAGTAAGTGTTTCCCAGCACTTGGTCAATGTGGAAAAAGAGAGGGGATCCTTGGTACATTCTGCCACTTCCATTCCATCTCCATAATCCCCACAGCTTTAAAATGATATAACTTTTACTACCATACTGAGCAATGCCTGTACCTTCAGTTTTTGCAGCAAAGAAGGCAAACATCAACAGAATCCACCCTAATATAATACAAGAAATACTCATCTACTCATGTGCTGTAGTAGTGGTTTGCATGCATATGTTCAAGTGATGCAGTATTATGGACCAACAACAAGGTAGAAAGGCAAAGGCAGAGCAAACAAGTCAACTGTACACCAGGACAACTTTTATTCCAAGGAAAAACGAAGAGCTACTCTGGGTCGGATTCAAATTCAAACCCACGACACTCTGCAGTCTAGGCTGAGCGCTCTATATACTCCCAGGGCAACTCAGCTGGTAGGGGTTCGAATCTACAACACAACACAAGACAAAGGCAAACCTCAAACCACTGAGCTATGGCACAGTATACTCTCACTCAGTATGTATATTATTCTCATATATATACCATAAATGCACTCATTCATTATACCATAACGGTTGCGGAAACAGTCGTATTTTCACACAGTCATCTTTACTAGTAAATCTAATAGAGTTACTAATGGCTTAGGGCTTGCACTACACACATTAGGTGAAGAAACATGTGAGGTAAGCAGTTTTTAGTTAGGCATACATATAGCTAGGTAGAGCAAAGAGAATATTCACACCAAAGTAATGATAATCAGCTGATGCCACATACAGCTTGACTATATCAAGTGTGGTAACAAGGAAATCAGCTCTTGAGTCAGCTCTAGACATCAATGCTATGTGACGGATCCCAGCAGCTAGCAGTTGCTAGTCATGTATTGTAGCAATAGTTATATATACGCGGATACGATCGCTATTACCGTTTGCCCAAGAGCTCCATGAGACAGAAGAGCATCCCTCCAATGGCTGCAAGTGCACTACAGATATTATTCCGTGACACAACTGCCGCAGAGCGCGAAGTCACGGAGACTATATAGCGCAATCGGGCGTTTGTTGCGCATGCGTGGCACTACAGCTCTGTGTGCCGTGCCCAACACAGCGAATAACTACAACCTTACCAAAGGACATCTGTGCCTTGAAGTATATTGCCATTCTACGGTGATATGTTCATAGCTATGGCAACGTTTAACTCAGGCGTTATATACACACATCCTGTAGTTAAAAAACATTTACTCTTGTATGGCAGTGGATTACACTACACTACTGCCATGATAACATGCCCATCTGGGAGAGGAAGCAGATTTTCGGCGCCGCTCATGCGCCGCGCGCTCAAGGCGCTCTCTAGCTAGCTCCGCCCCTCGGCCGGCTGATCAGTGAACGAGTGATCACGAGCCATCAGCTAGCTAGCTAGCTAGCTATAGTGCAGTGCACGCTAGCTAGCTAGCTCTAGCACACTGAGCTGATCACACACACTCGTACGTACGTACGTAGTACGTACGCGTGTCACACCCGGCCCGCGCGATCCCGCCGCCGCGCGCGCGCACACACGTGTGTGCAGCAACAGCAGCCGCCCGGCTCAATTCATCTTCTATGCAAGTCGAGAACCACTGCACCAAGAAGGCAAGAACCTGATAATACTGCACTGATCGATCGCTACTGGTGAGATGGCAAGAGCTAAGCTTGGACTGACGTTGGCGTTGCTGAAGCCAGATTTGGTTCTCAGACAGTACGCGGCCAAGGTAAACAATGAGCGGGTCTTTGATCCTTTCTCACCGATGTTATATTATGTTCAGGAGGTCAAGGGTTTGATAGAGAATAAAGGTTTCTACATAGTTCATCGCGACACGTTTAGATTGGGTATCACTAGAGCTACTCAGCTCTACCAGGAACACAAGTGTAAGTATTTTATCACTAAGTACGGTAGTACTTAGTATATAGGGATTGGCATGGTAGATGTATGGGGGCTATGATAGAGAGTTTTGTTGTTCTTCTTCTTCAGATTCAACACCCATAACTCAAAAATGAAACAACATGAAGTAATGAAATTTTGTAAGAATGTAAATATCCATCACCCAAGAGACTGGTCATACTTATTTCTTTGTAAACAACATTGTTTACTGTAAACAACAACAAATAGCCCCAGGCAATATGGATCACATGTGTCAGTATAACTCACAAATGGTAAGAGATATGTGAACGAAACTTTGTACACATAATGTATTCAATCACCAACATCAAAATTACAACAATACATGTTTGTAAACAACAACAAATAGCCTCAGGCACTCTTAAACTCTGCAATGGTAGCACACATAGAGATGAAACTTGGTACATATGCCTATTATATCATTTCCATGACGATTACTTGTTTCCATGACGACCACATTTTGTTTGAAGAAAGCCTCAGGCATTTTCTTTAACACCACTTCTTCACTCCTCAAACTTGCTAATTGTAGCACGCATGGAGGTGAAACTTGGTGTGCATGTGTATTATCGTTTCCATGACGACAACAACAACAAATAGCCTCAGGCACTTTTCTTTAAAATTATTTCTTCACTCCTCAAACTTGCTAACGGTACCACGCATGGAGATGAAACTTGGTACGCATGTGTGTAACATCGTTTCCATGACGACCACAACAACAAATAGCCTCAGGTACTTTTATTTAAAATTACTTCTTCACTCCTCAAACTCGCTAACGGTACCACACATGGAGATGAAACTTGGTGCGCATGTGTATTACATCGTTTCCATGACGACCACAACAACAAACAGTTTCTTTAAAATTACTTCTTCACTCCTCAAACTTCCTAACTGTAGCACACATGGAGGTGAAACTTGGTGCGCATGCGTATTACATCGTTTCCATGACAACCATGACAACAAATAGCCTTTTCTTTCTTCACTCCTCAAACTTGCTAACGGCTGCACACAAACTTGGTACGCATACGTATTACATCATTTCCATGACGACAGGCATTCTCTTATTAATTTTTTATGCCCCCTTCCACAGAGATAATACGTAGTAGTATATAAAAATGAGTGGAGACAAGTAAATAAAAAATCCTGCGAATTTATAAAAGAGGCATATAGGGATGGTATAAAAAGAAAGGGAGACAAGATAGGGATGGGATACATGAAGCATAGTTTATGAACACATTTGAGTACGCTGACACCCCGACCCCATCACATAATCCCTATATTGTTGCCTAGGTGAAGTATTACACATTCACCATTACAATACTCAGAACTTATACTACAAAAAAGTCATGCTACTGAGTAACCAACACCACTATAGAGTCCAAGTGGAGTTTAATTATAGGGAATGTGGCAGTATAAATTTTACTAAAAACAACAGGGACACGGTGAAAGGATGCTTGCTTTTAGCCCTTACAATTACAATGCGACATTCCCTATAAGAGTAGCACACCAGGCAACAATATAGGGATTATGTGATGGGGTCGGGGTGTCAGCGTACTGAAATGTGTTCATAAACCATGCTTCATGTATCCCATCCCTATCTTGTCTCCCTTTCTTTTTATACCATCCCTATATGCCTCTTTTATAAATTCGCAGGATTTTTAATTTACTTGTAAATATAGCTTATGCCTACTTTATACCTCCTCCCCTTGAGTTAGCCTCCATATGTACTGACTGTAGAGGAATGATTGCTTGTGATAATTTTAGCATGTGCACTGCATAAAATTATATTCATCTTTAGTCATGACCTCAGCTAGGAATGTTGTGACATTGCGAAAAGGTCACTGTATGCCAGTTGTGTATTCGCCTGAGCTATGTTACATCTGTGGCTAATGCAAAGGGTGCCGCAATTAGTAGTACCATTTGTAGGATGGGGACTTAAAATGCTTGACTGTATGAAAGTTTAGGATTCAGTGGCAGGCTTATTAACCCTCGGCGCCCATGCGTAGTGAGGGTTACGGTAGTTGGGTCTGTGTGTCTGTGTGTCTGTTACTCTACATCTCACTTCTCGGGTGTTTGTTCGTCTCACAAAGGATACGACCTACTTAACGGGCAATGAAGGTCAGAAATTTCGAACGGTTTTCTCTGAAACTGCTCCGTTGCAAAGCTAGAGCGCGAAAAAGCCAATATGCAAATACACAACGGACGGGATGGCTTACCACAGTTGGACGATCCGCGTGCTCTGCGTACTTCGGAGGCACCAGAAGATGCAACACAGGGCGTGTATTGCCTCTCGCATGCTATCTGCGCGAGCTGGCAAGAGACCACGAGTAACAGCTAAAGCTAAACCCAGCCCATCAATTAGTGGTACGGCGCATGCGTTTACTTACGCGTGCGCGTCACAATGCGCCGAGGGTTTGCACTACCAAATTGTCTGACTTCCACGTGATGGATGTAGGAAACTGACAGGAATTACAAACAGATCCTATGCGCAGTGTAGCACTGTGGAGTACTGAACATACGAGCATAATAGCTATGGGTCCCTAAAATAATAGTTTGAACAGCCACATTTAAAACGTTTGGCTCCAATTTTTTACACTTCACATGTAACTGACCTTTTCCGACACTTCATGGATCTCCTCTTGATCCAATGCCAAGACTCTAATAACCAGGCGGGATGGTATCCATAGACTGTAAACATAGTGTATTGGACTTTGGAGAGATCGGGTCAGCCAGCACTCATGAGCTCATAATGTTCACGTTGCGCAACACCTGTATCATCATTATGCCAAAGGGCAGTGTGTAACATTACTTTCGCACCAGCTGTAAAAAGAACTCTTTCAACTCTCTTCCAGGATGTAGGCAGCTTGGAGTACTGGGCTTACGTGGGGGCTTGCGAGCAGATAGTGACTAAACCTACATACCACTCTAATTATATACAATAGATATCTCATAGCCTTTTCTAACAAACACCACAGCTAAATTCTTCTACGAGCGCCTGGTGAACTACATGATGTCGGGGGAGACAGAGGCTCTAGTACTGGCCCACTCCCAGGCCCTCCAGAGGTGGAGGGACCTCATGGGACCCACTAAACCAAGTCTGGCCCAGTCCCTGGCCCCTGACTCCATCAGAGCTCTCCACGGACTCACCGACACCAGGAATGCTGTTCATGGCTCTGGTCAGTAGTTGCCTATTGCATGTTTTTTTGTGAAGGTATATATACATACATACATACATATAGGGGATATTTCTGAAGCGTTTGTGGGCTGTTTGATGTGCACTCCATGTCTCTGAGGGTAGGTTCACAGTATGTCGCATGCCCTTTTGTGCCATGCAGCGTCGCTTGGTGCCGTGAAGATAAAAATGGATTCTATCCTCGTGACAGAGCAAAGCGGCAGGGCGGGCGAGGCGGGCAATACGACATATTGTGAGCCCAGCCTACTGTACATGTTTTTGAATTTTACAACGCGTACATACAATTGCAAAGCCGCTCTTTAGCTCATGAGCCTGGTCTACGCATTCTTTCCTTTTCTATTCTGTCTATTTTTCTATGGACTTAATTTACAGAGATTTTTACTGCCTCTTTCTTTTAGTTCATCATTAAGATCAGTTCTTTCTATTTTATACACAAGTATATATTTTATATTTTTCTACTGCCTATGTATAGTAACTGTCATTGTGATTGTTTATCGTTGGGTTTGGACACTAGGTGTGTGGGGAGAGTTGGCGATGCCATAAAAGGACTCTTTAACCCACCACCCAGTTCTCAAGGCTGGGACACACTGGTGTGTCCTACTTATGTGTGCAACTGTGTGTTGGTCTGCTGTATGTCTAACTCTTGGGTGGAGATGATGTGGAGGGTGTGACTTTCTGGTTTCATTCTGTCTGTGGCTAGTACGCTATAAATTATACTTTCATGACTATCCCACCCGGAAAAAGCTTGGCATCTAAACTAGTGCTGGATATAGCCGATACGTGCAATTTACTCCAACTACGTAAGTGACTGCTGCATGTGGCATTTGTTAACTAAAGTGTGTGGCAATTCAAACCTTACACACAAACCACTGGGTGTGATTACTGCTGAGGATGTGAGGCAGGCTTTTGATGGAGATGGATATTCTGTTCCTGACGTCAACACAGTCAGCGTGGTACACAACCGATGGAGCCCCTTCTCTTCCGGGTTGGAGAGTCAGTTTCTGATGAGCACTCCTCACCCACAGACCAATACTAGCCATCCACCCGGAACCTCACCAGAGAGAACACTCCCAATGTCTCTTTAGTGGTGGTATATGTTTAGACAACACATGGTATTAGAGCACAGTGTGTCTCAGTTACATCATTGTTTCTCGCACCTTGTGTCACAACCGTTCGTTGTTTACCTCTTTTGATAGCAGTGTGTGTATAATATTAGTCCTGCGTCGCGTGCTCAGAGTTCTTTCTGCGATAGAGATAAGTACGTTAGACGACAGTCATGAAACATACACGATGAACTCCGACATTGCCTGCCACTCACGAAGCTTATTGGAACGGTGAGACCTCTTCTCTAGCTATAATAATATGATAGCCAATAATAAAAAACGTGGTAATCACAATAATCACATTGAAAAGACCCTAAAGTGCAACCCTCGGCGCGAACTGGCGGGTACCGCGATGGATGGGCTGGGCCTATTGGCGTTGTACTCGCGGTCTCCCGACTGTGAGCTTGCGGACGAGAAGTCTGACACGGCTAGCTACAGTAGTAGATAGCAGTGCGGGAGTCGCTACACACCCTTCGCTGTGGCTCTGTGCCTCCAAGGTACCAGTGCACCATGTTATTTTTCTAGCCCATGTACCGCTAAAGCTGGTGGTATCGCAAGCCGCCCGTAGACTGTCGCTCGCGAGACTGCGAGAATAGTCATAGACAGAAGAGAGACAGACAGACACACAGAACGACATACCGCAAACCTCGCTGCGCATGCGCGCGAGAAGTTAATGACGCGCGGGCCGTCTTTTACACTCGACTCGCCCACAAACATTACTAGGACAGTTTTACAGTCTGTGCGAATCAACATAATTTAAAGTAAGCAAAGTCCAGCTGCAGATAGAAATAGCTACCATATAATGAGCTACACCAGAATTAGCATTGTGACTAGCTAGCTATATGATAGCTATTGCATTAGCTGAGAAGGAGGATTTATCATGACCCATTACAGCACTTTCGTCTTGATAACCCTGACACACAGCTATATATGCATACGAACAAGGCTGACGGTGAGTAATGCGATATATCCTGCTCGTGACTAGCCTGGCAATGAGGACATGAACCCCAAAACTTTCAACGCGCCTCACTGCCAGTCACGTCGAAACTGAGTGAAAAAGCAGACAGATTTTTGCCAGGAGGAGGAACAGGGAGGACGTCGATGTGCGTGTTGCAGAGCATGCGGTGAGGTTAAGAAGGGGCAAATAGATGCTACAAGAAGAACGGCATGCTGTGATGAGCCAGGCATAGGATGAACTAAAGAAGTGTTTGGCCAGCATGGGTTGCCCAGCCCAACGCAACTGCATCCTTCCAATCAAATAGATAGCAGCGAAAAAACGAGAGTCCCTTTGCCCACTTGTGTCCATCCTTGTAGTGCTCAGTGCATAGTTCCATGAATGTCCGCATGCATGCCATCTCCTGAGTCCAACAACAGGGGAGATGAGTTTTGGAAGATACGAGTGGGAAGATCAGAACTAGAACTAGAGGGAGTACGACCGAACCACACTCGATCCCTAGAACAACGTATGGGGCGTGAGGCTGGGCTGAAGAAGGACGTTTTCAAATCAGTTGATAGTGGTTGAAGTGTTTTCACCTGTAGATCTGTCGAGAGAAACTAGGAAATAGTGCTGAAAAGTGAAAACGATGTTTACAAACAGAGTCTTCCGTACGACAGTCGACGAAACTCCCAAACGTGTAAAGAATGGACGACAGATCTTTAACTCGACCTTCAGCACTCTTGAATGGCTGCCACAGTGCACTATACACTTGTTCCTTAGCACTGTAGCTGTATCAGATAGACATGTACGACACAGAGAGAAAGTGGATAGTACAGAAGGAACATAGCCGAGACTGATGAGCTGAAGCTGTCGTCAAGTGAGGACTAACGGAGAACGAATGTGGTATCAGAAATTGCACAAAGTCGCGACTCCAGACTGCGTAACAGGACACATGATGCTCATGCAAGGGCCCAGTAACCGAACAGACTCATGAGGGAGAGCGTGTCGATCGGTGCGGGAGAAGAACAGAAGAATAAGAATAGTGTTGGTAAGATAGTGGCGAAAAGAAGATAAAACTAGTCAAATGTCCGAGTGAATGTTTGTCTTGAACAAGAAAAACAACAAAAAGAGGAGAACGTTGACAAAGAGTCAGGAGAGGTAAGCCCCCAGCATAGTGTGGGTGAGAGCATTTCACGCACATGAGTCCATAGTTTGATATGGATGCTGCCAGTCCGTGGCCCTCTTTACAATCACTGCAGAGATATCCTCTCCTGTTGAACGGAGCACACAGCGCAGAGAGTTGACCTCGTCAAATCTGCTCGCAGGTACTCTATAGATGTCCCGTGGTAGAGGACGGATGTGTTGCGTGACTGGTCTGTATGGACACTGAGACTACCACCATACTAGCTGTTGGTGACCTGTCATACAAAACCCCATCTCGAGCTCGAAGAGTTGCCCTATTGAGCGTATATCTGTGGGCAGCCGCATGACGAAATAACGAGCACTCACCATCAGCTGGGTCTGGGGTATACAAGGTGGACAGGATGGTTCCTGCATGCTCGCTGCCGAAGAAGCATAGCTCTGCACATCATTGTCTCTAGAGCATGTCACAACTACCAGAAATATGGCTAGTTTCACTGTTGAAGGTATCATTGTCTGCAGTGAATATTCAACTACTATGCCTAGCTGATACCAACTACAACTAATATCTGTTCCATATATGCACGCATCATAAACTGCTGTGCTGCTGATAAGACGGAAGTGGTATTGATGTTAGTGCAACTTTCAACATCTGTTTGTGTGGCCACATTAAAGGGAGTCAGGTCTGGAAGAAGAAGAAGAAGAAACAACTTTCAGTTCCTTGGCTTCAGGTTGTCTACTTAATACTGTAGAACCAAGAGACAGTAGTGAAAGACTGCGGTGGGTAGTGCATTGAGCTGCTGCTGGGTGCAGAGAGGCACCAGTACCACTGATGGCATACACGTGGCAAATCATAGTGCTCAAAACCCAAACTCTGTGTCAGTATGAAGTGGAGAGGTGCCAAGGTATAGAGACGCGCCAGAATGCTCGATCAGCGGTAACTTGACGGTTTCGTGTGAAAACAAATATATATCAAAGCCTTTCGAGCGCTGGGGCACGGTATATACTGTGTTCGTAATTGTAGCCAAAGTGTACAGACGCGCAAATTTTGGACAGTTTGTGGCCTGTTTCGATGTGCACTCCATGTCTTAAGGTAGTTCACAGTATGTGCATTGCCCTTAGCGTCGCTTGGTGCTGAAGATAAAAAGCGGCAGGGCAATACGACATATTGTGAACCCAGCCTAACTGTACATGACTATCCCACCCCGAAATGTGAGGAGTGTAGGCAAGCTTTTGATGGAGATGGATACCTGTTTCCTGACTTCAACATTCAGCAGTGGTACACACCGAGGAGCCCCTCTTCGGGTTGGACGAGTCAGTGTCTGTGAGCACTCCCTCACCCACAGACCACTAGCCTCCACCCGGAACCCTCACCAAGAGAACTCTCAATGTCTCTTTAGTGGTGGTTGTGTATATAGAAACACAGTGTATCTCAGTACATCATTGTTTCTCAGCACCTTGTTTCACAACCGTTGTGTTTACTCTTTATAGCAGTGTGTATAATATTATCTGTGTCTCTTTCTCACGAGTTCTTTCTGCGATAGAGATAGACGACAAGTCCATATTATGAAAACTACACGGATGAACTCACATGCCGTTGCAACTCATGTAGCTTACTATGGGTAACGTTGAGACTTTTCTCATAGCTATATAGCCAATAACAAAAATGGTAACGTTGAATGAAGCTTGCTGTACGTACAAATAATCACAATGACGCGTGACTCTACACTCGCTCACAAAATACTCAGGACTATTTTACAGTCTGTTCTAATCAACATAAAATTTTAAAGTATGCAAAGTAGACTTTTTTT